GGGAAGAGCCGAGTCCTGAGTGGGAGCTCCCACCCCCGCCCCGGTGGAGGCCCCGCAGGCAGCCTTGGAGGACATACCTGAGGTTTGGCAGCGCCCGCTGGCCTGCCCCCAGGGCTGAATCAGCAGGAAGAGTCAGGGCTTCCCAGGAAAAGCGGCTGGGACTACGCTTCCCCAGCCCCCGCCCGGCCCGGCCCACGCTGCCGAGGGCCCCGGAGGGAGGGAGGGGGTGGGAGGTTCACGTGCGTGCGCCTGGCTGTGGCCCAGGGCGCCTGGAGGACAGGCTGTGGGGGCTGTGAGGGACTAGAAGGGTCCTTACCAGGGCAATGGGGGCATCTAGGTGTCAGAGGGCCCCCCCCCCATGTAAGGAGAAAGCAGGGTGACGGTGGGTGCGTCAGTGCTCTGTGCCACCACATGACCATTCCCCACATGCCTGCCTGTGGGGGTGCGTCTGCCCGTGCGGCTGTGAAGGCGGAACCGTGTCCGGAGTGTCCCCTGTGTCCGGCGTGCTGGGCGAGGCAAGCCAGGTGCACCCTGGTCCGGTGACCGCCTGTGGGGCCACCCTGGGGAGTGCGTGCAGCTCAAGGAGTAACAGGGCGGCTCCGGGGCCACGGGAGGGCCTGTCTGACTGGGAGGACAGAGCCTGACGAGGACAGCGTGACCTTAGGAATGAAGACAGGGCCCTGGCTCCACACGACATGTCCACTGTGCAACACAGCGGCTGCGGCTCTGGGTGGGGGAGTGTCAGTGCCCCCGCATCCATCCCAAAACGCCGGCGCCGCCGAGACCGGTGTGGCTCAGGGGAGAGAGCATCGGCCTGCGGACTGAAGGGTCCCAGGTTCGATTCCGGTCAAGGGCATGTACCAGTAGGGGGTGTGCAGGAGGCAGCTGATGGATGTTTCTCATCAATGTTTCTGACTCTCTATCCCTCCCCCTTCCTCTCTGTAAAAAAAAAAAAAATCAATAAAATATATATTTTTTTAAATGCCCGTGCCTGTTGTCCCCTCATCCCTGAGTTCCCTCCCTGCCTGCCTGCCCAGACCCCACCCCAGACCCTGGGGCCCGGCCTCAGCGCCTGCCCTGGGCGGGGGCGGCACGGTTACCTGGGCTGCTCTTTCTGGGCCGTCACTCTGCCTCTGTTTCCACCGCGAAAGCCAAGCATTCCCCCGACCCGACCGAAGCCAGGTCTCCCCGCCAGGCTGGCTCCAGTCTTTGGGGTCTGAGCCTGGGTCATACCCAACGCCGCAGGCTGATGAGAGAGACAGACGGGGCTGGGGAAGTGGTGGGTGGCCACGCCAGGGCCACGAGGCCCCGTGGAGGAGCCAAAAACGCTTCTACAGAACAGGAGGCGGGAGGGGAGGGGCGCTGGGTGGCCACGTGGAAGGGGGCAGACCCCAGCTCCATAAATAAACACTCGGTCACCGGCTGAACCCTGCACCAACTCCAGGCAAGCCTTTGTTTTGAGGAACTGTGCAAACCTCCCCTGCTCTGGCCCCTTCTGCAGCTCGCACTCACCTGCCAGGGTCGGCACTCAGCACACAAGCCCTGTTCACCCCCCTGGGTGTCGCCCTCCCTTTTCCTCCTCAGGCCTTCACATCCACCTGCGCAGCAGCCTGGATGCCCTTCCGGCTTTGCTACCGGGCAAATTCCTACACACCCGTCAAGACCCAGGGCCTAGGTTCCCTGCTCTGGGAAACACTGTCCTTCTTCCCAGTCCACAGTGTCCCTGTTTGCTGTGTGACCCTGGGCCAGTTCCTCCCTCTGTGACGTGGAGGTGTGTATGAAATCACCTCCCTGGGAGCCGGTCTTGAGCCCCAAGACAACAAATAAACATTGGGTGCTCTGAAAGTAAGCCAGGGGAGCAGGGAGAGTTTGCATCCAGTAGGAGCTCAATGTGTGTTCATTTTTATCTTCCTCGTCTGGGGTGCTGTGGTTTTAAGACTCTTGTTTTTAAGCATTGTTCCAAGATTTTTTTTTTCTCCCACTCACGGTGCTAGGAATTTTAAAACCCCTGGTTCTAAAATTATAAAAGTCTAAAATGCTGTGGGCGGGACCCAGGGCCGCCTGGTGCCCTGAGCTGACCCCGGGGTGGCTCAGGAGCCTGGACCTCTGGGGGGCCTCATCCCTTCCTCTCCCCTAGGCTGAGGGGTGTGGTCTGGCAGCCCTCATTGTGGGGAGAGCAATGGGTTTACCAAGAGGCTGGAGGCCAACTTTCCAGCGGAGGTGGGGACTCCTGGCTCAGCTGCTAGACGGGGTCACAAGGCGGCCTCAAGAGGCACAGGGCTGCCGAAACCGGTTTGGCTCAGTGGATAGAGCATCGGCCTGTGGACTGAGGCTCCCAGGTTCAATTCCAGTCAGGGGCATGGAAGTGCCTTGGTTACGGGCACATCCTGGGTGGGGGGGTGTGCAGGAGGCAGCTGATCAATGATTCTCTCTCATCGATGTTTCTAGCTCTCTATCCTTCTCTCTTCCTCTCTGTAAAAAATCAATAAAATATATTTTTAAGCCGAAACCGGTTTGGCTCAATGGATAGAGCGTTGGCTTGGGGACTGAAGGGTCCCGAGTTCGATTCCGGTCAAAGGCATGTATCTTGGTTCAGGCGTATCCCCAGTAGGGGGTGTGCAAGAGGCAGCTGATCGATGACTCTCTCCCATCGATGTTTCTAGCTCTCTATCTCTCTCCCTTCCTCTCTGTACAAAATCAATAAAAAATATATTTAAAAAATATATACTATATATACACACCTCCACTATATATATATTTTTTTAAAAGAGGCACAGAGCTGGCAGCTCAGGGTGATGGCTTTTTTTTCTTTTGGAGGCTCAGGGTGTTTTTGTTGTTGTTGTTGTAATTGTTTTAAAATATATTTTTTTTATTGATTTCAGAGAGGAAGGGAGAGGGAAAGTGAGATGGAAACATCAATGATGAGAGTGAGTCATTGATCGGCTGCCTCCTGCATACTCTCTACTGGGGATTGAGCCCGCAACCTGGGCACATGCCCTTGACTGGAATCAAACCCAAGATCCTTCAGTCCATAGGCCCACGCGCTAGCCAATGGGCCAAACCGGTTAGGACCAGGCTCAGTTTTCTCATCTGGAAACTGGGGCCGGTGCTGCCTCCTGATGAGCTGTCAGCAGACCGGGAGGAGCTAGGGCTGCAGTCCCCGCCTGGAGCCAGGCATTGGCGTGGGCTTCCTGCCTGGTGCACGTCCCTCCAGAAGCCTTGCTCACTCCCAGCCCCACCGTGGCAGCTGGGGAAGGGGCTGCAGGGTGATGCCCACCCCCCTGCCCCACCCCAGGGAAAGAGAGACAGACTTCTGCCCCAAACCCGTCTGCCCCAGGCCGGGCATTGGCCACGGGCCCAACACTTTCTCAATGAAAGGTATTTGGCTATGGAGCCTGACACCTCATTACCCTTGGCCTGAACGCCAGCTTCGCCTGCTGGCTGCAAAGGGAGCCCCTTCTCACTCCTGCTGCTCCCAGGACCCCGGCAAGCAGCCCTGGGCAGGGCTCTGGAGCAGGCAGATTCAGAGTTTGGTCGCCTTGGGCACGGGGCCTGCTCATCTGAGTCAGCGGGGGACATACCGAGTGTGTCTGTAAGGTGTGGATAAATGCACGTCTCCTGGCCCCAGGATAGGGGCCTCAAAGCTTCTCTCCTCTCCTGTCCATCCCAGCGCATCCGGTTCAAGGCTGGGCTGCCAGCACCTGGGGTGTCTCAAACCTTGACTCCAGCAGAGCCTGGGGTCCATCCTCAGAGACCGGGGCTGATGCCCTTGGGTTTGTCTCTCCTTTTGGGGGCCTCTGTTCTGGAAACTGGGGGTGTGGTCAGAACAGTGCCTGTCCCATGGAGTGCCAGGAGGACAGAATGAGAGCAAGTGATGGCTCTCCCACCTCCAGACTGAGGGTCCCAGTGGGATCAGAGGGTCCGGGACCAGGACCCTGGAAAGCCCAGATACCACTTGGGCAAGGGTGGGGCCTGGGGCAGGACGGCTGTGGCCTCAGCTTAGGAAATCCACGGTGGCTTCCATTCCAACCACCGGGGCACGCAGCCCTGTCAGGGCCGATCCCTGCCCACGGCAGCCGCAGGCACACAGCCAGGCACCAAGGAGGCCAGGGCGGCAGCTACTACTGTGTCCAGCGGTCAGGGCAGGTTCCGGCCACTCACCAGTCAGCTCTGCACGCATGTGTCTCAGACACACTCTGCACGCCTCAGCCTGGGGGGTGCGGCGGGGGGGGGGGGGGGGGAGGCACATGCCTATGACAGGCACATCCAGGGCCTGTGGGGGCACCTGGGCTGTTTGCACATGAATGTCCGTGTGTACTGGGGACACGTTTCTGCCAAGCTTGTCTGGGTCTGGCAGCCGCAGCCTCCATCCATCCTTTGCTTCTTGAGACCGACACCACGAGTTGGAAATGAAGCATCTTTAATTGATTTCCTGCCTCAACCCCCTGAGGGTCTCTAAGCACCAAACATGAGAACTGTGCCCCCCAGCCCAGAACCAAGAAGCTCCTTTCCCAGACCTTCCTTGGGCCCGGACTCCCCATACCCGCCCCATGACCAACCGCACAGGCTTTGATTCAATAAATAACCCCCAGAACAAAGCGTGAGGCAGAGGACCTAGTAAAGCACCCTGTTCAGTGACACAAAGACCTAAGACCTAAGGTCAGAAATCCCAACGGACAGAATATTGGAAATCAGAGTTAAAATATAATTGGAGTCAGAGCATGTGATCCGGGAGGCGTTCCCTCCAGCCTTGACGGTCTCCGGGACGCTGGCTCCCACGGTCAGGACGAACTCAAGCTCCATTTTACATCTCTCCGCCATCATCACCTCCTTGCCATTGTTTCCCATTGCACCCGACTCTGACTTCCAAGCAGTGGGCACCTGGGGAAGGGGGCGAGACTCCCCAGGGACGGAGAAGTCCGGAGCAAGGCAGAGGGGCAAGGATGGGGCCCAGGTCACGGCCGGGCCCGGCCTCGGAGGGTACGGAGGAGACCCTCAGCTCAGGCCTGGGCCCGGGCCACCTCGCTCATCTCCCGGCGGATGTCACCGAGCGCTGTTGCTGGGGACTCCAGCAGCCTCTGGAAGAGGCTGGGCCGGCCAGCCGCCGGCTCCCGGCACTGGAATGTGACCGCTGTGCCCGCGTCAGCCTTCATCTCCCTGGAGAAGCCGTCGGAGGAGCCGTCGAAGCAGCGGCCAATGGCGATCTCCTTGGCCAGCCTGGGGCTCTGGTCAGTGACCGTGTAGACGCCGTAGTTGTGACCCAGGGGGTCCAGCGGGGCCAGCATGGCGAAGGCGGCCGGGTCGTCGGCGGGGGCGGGAGGCGGGTGCCGGGCCAAGTAGTCCTGCAGGAGCCCGTTGACGGCCACGCGGCGACAGCTGCCCTGGGGTGTCACGGTCACCAGCGTCCGGTCCACCTGCCGCTGGTCGAATAGCATCCCGCTGCACTTGAACTCCACGCAGGCGGCGGACGTGCCGGGGCGCTGGGGGTCCCTGACGCTGCGGGCGTCCCGCAGCCCGTAGAGCTGGCCCTGGGTGCGCGGGTGGCTGCCCCCCACGTTGTGGGAGCGGATCATGTACTCCTGCGGGCCCTGCACCTTCACCTTGAGGAAGCAGGCCCGGAACGCCTGCGGGTTGGGCCACCAGGCCAGGAGGTCCCCGGTCCAGGAGGCCGGCGCGCCCTCCCGGAACGGGACCACGTTGTACTCGTACTTATCGGCCTCCATGCGGGCGAAGCGGAAGTGGCTGGCGGTCACCGGGGCCTCCTGGCACTCGCGCAGGCTGCGCCACGGGTACACGGGGCCTTTGGCCTCGGCGGGGTGGCCCGGCCGGGGCTTGGCGAGGTTGATGCGGAAGCCGTTGCGCTTCAGGGCGGGGTCGTCGTGGTCGGTGCGGCGGTAGCCCAGCCGGTCCAGGTAGGGCTGCGCCACGCCCACGGCGGCCGGCAGGGGGCGCGGCCGGGACGGCGGCGGCTCCAGCTCCTCGCCGCCCAGCGTGGCGGTCAGCAGCGCGGTGTAGGCGTCGGGCCGGTCGGCGTCGCAGAAGGCGGGCAGGCAGGCGCCGTTGGGGCCGGTGACCGCGCTGTCGAAGCGGCCCCAGGCGCGCGGGTTGGCGGAGAAGCCCGGCGCCGGCTCCAGGTTGACCAGCGAGACCACCACGCCCTCCACCTGCTCGCCGGCCGCGAACTTGTCGCTGGCGTAGGCGCGCACCTTCACGAAGCAGCGGCGGCGCTCGGGCACGTCCAGGTTGAACAGGCGCCGCTCGCGGACCTCCACGTTGCCCACGAGGAAGGCGCGCTCCTCCCGGCGCACCCGGGGCCCCGCCGGCGCCTCGCGCTGGAAGCCGCCCTCCTCCTCCCACAGGCCCGTGTCCGGGTTCAGGGACCAGAGCTTGAGGGCCTCGGCGTGGCCCGCCATGCGGATCTGGCCGGCGGCCACGCGCACGGCCAGCGGCCCGGCCTGCAGCTGCTCGGCGGCGCCCGCGGCCCGCAGGTCCACGGCGAACATGCCGTAGGTGCGCAGCGGCGCCAGCTCCCCGTCGCTGTCCGCGAAGCGCAGGTCGCTTGGGGCGGCGGCCGCCGAGGCCAGGTCTCGGGGATCCACGAAGGTCACCCGGGCCTCCACGGCCCCCCAATAGGGCTCTCCATCGGCCCTGCGGAAGGCCCCCGCTGGGAGGACCAGCTCGCCCAGGGGAGGCTCGTCCTGCAGCTCCCCCAGCGGGAGCGTGTTGCTCTGGCTGGCATCTAAGAGGACGGGGGCTTTCTTCCGCATGGCCTTGACCTCGTGGTACACACCGGCGCCCCGAGGGTCAAAGGGCAGGACCCTGACGGTGTCCATGAAGTCGCCGCTGGGCTCCACGAACGTCACCACCAGGCGCTGGGTGGCGCGGGGCACCTCGATGGTGAAGTCGCCCTGGTAAGAGGTGAAGCCGATGGGCTCTGGGCCCAGCAGGATCCGGGCAAACCGCAGGGGCTCCCCCGTGTCGGCGGCCACCACCCGGCCGCGGACCAGCCCACGGGGGGGCAGGCACTTCTGGCAGCCGCACTCGGCCACCACCTTGACGGGGAGGACGTAGCCGGAGCACTGGATCTCCCTGCTCTCCAGGCGGCGCACGGAGCAGCAGCGGGAGGCCGCGTCCCCGCACCTGGGGCCGGAGCCCGCGGGGCCTGGGCAGAGGGTGTCCGGGCAGAGGCCCACGTCCAGGTAGGCGGGGCCGCGGCCCGGCTGACCGCAGTCGTCGGGCAGTTTGATCAGGTGCTCCCGAGGCTGGGGGTCGCAGGCCGGCTGTCCCGGAGCTGGAGAGCAAGAGACCAGCCGGATCAGGGTAAGGGGAGGACTCCTTTGGAGGCCAAGGGTCAGGGCATGGACTGGGGTCAGGGCGTCAGTGGGGGCTTGGGGTCAGACTCAGCAAGATCCAAAATCCATTTGCCAGGGGGGCTCCACTTGAGGTTGAGCTAGGACTTGCTGGGGGAGGGGGCAGGGTGCTCACCAAGCACGATGAGCTCGGCGGTTCCGGAGAGCACCGAGCCCGCCTCATTCCACGCCTTGCAGTGGTAGGCGCCCGCCTGGTCCGGACGCAGCCCCCGCAGCTCCAGGTGGGCCCCGTACCTGAGCTCTCGCCTGTCCAGCAGGGTCCCGTTGTGAAACCTGGGTGGCGGGTGGGAACACCATGGGGCCCTTGGCACAGGTGTGGGCCTCCATCCTCCAGCCCCCACCCCAAGAACACAGCCCCCGGAGGATGCAGAACCGCTCCCCCCAGGTCTCGGAGGCACCAGAAACCATGAGCAATCCGATCCAAGACCACAGCTGGCCTGGGGCCCTGGAGCACGGACGGGGCAGGACACTCACCAGGAGTATTTCTTGGTGCCTGAGGCTTTGCAGCAGAAGGTCACATTCTGGCCTGCCTCTCGCACTCGGGACTCGGGATGCTTCACCAGGTGGGGCTTCTCTGAGGGCAAAGGTCAGGGCACTGCCCCATCCCAACTCCTCCCAATGACACTTCCCAAGAGTAGGGTCCACCCTCTCCTTCTGATCCCCCATCTCTGCTCAACATGATGCCCCATCTTAATGCTTCTCTGCAACTCTGTCTCACCCCGCCTCCAATGACCGTATCACACCTCACTCCTTTCCCCAGAAACCTTGATTTATCACACCGCCCCAATCCCAAAGACTTGGAGTCCCCCAGAACTTCCAGCTTCATGACTCCCCTTGCCACAAGGCACTTACCTAACTTCTCAAGAACAATAGTGACCACAGCAGACAGGGAGCTGTTGGCCTGGGCCTGGGCCGTACCAGCAGAGAAGCCATCCATCTGGGCACTGACGTTGGTTTGGCTGCTGGCACAGACTCCAGGCATCCGGAAGGTTCCGTGTGCATCGCTGGTGGCCACAGTGCCAGGCCAGTCTCTCAGGGAGACCTTGGCCCCTGGTAGCGGCCGGCCGGATGGAGTGACCACTGAGCCCAGCAGGATGTGATTGGGGCATCCACACGTTTTGGGGCTGCACCCTGGAGGACACAGGGAGGCAGAGGGGCAGAAGGGCCTACCCAGCAAAGGTGCCCCTAGTGTGAAGGGGAGGCTGGGTGGTCAGGGCCGGACAGGGGGAGGGGTCTGAGGTGCAGAGGGGGGAGGAAGACGCCCTGGGAGGGAGCAGGAGAGGTAACGCTCACAGCCCCGCGAGGATCCTTCCAGCAGGAGAGGAAATGTCCAGGCGGGGGCTGGGGGCCCGGCAAGGGGCTGGGTCTTGAGCCCAGAAGATCTCCCTCCCCTCCCAACGCCACGGTTTCTCCACAGAATGGAAAATTCCACTGGAAACTTCAGGGCAGAGCCGCCACAGGGAGAGCGCAGAGCCAGGCGGGCAGGGTGGGGACCCCACCACCCCATTGGCCATCACGCTCCCCCACCCGGCCGCGGGCTCTGCCGCCGGCACAGCCTCCAGACCGTGTTTGTGAAGCCCAGGCCGGATCGGAATTTCCAGTGGCCTCCTGGCTGGCCTGGTGTCTGGCTCTGGGAAGGCCTGGGTATTGTGTCTGCCAGGGTGTGAGCACGTGCCCGTGTGGGCATATGGGACGGGCAGGGGGCGCGAATGCCTCGTGTGTAGACTAAGGTGACCAGACGTCTCGATTTTTAACAATTTGTCCCGCGTCCCGCAGCGCTTTTTAATTTATTTTTATTTATTTATTTTTAAACATATGTTATTGATTTTTCACAGAGAGGAAGAGAGAGGGATAGTTAGAAACATCGGTGAGAGAGAGACATCGATCAGCTGCCTCCTGCGCACCCCCTACCGGGGATGTGCCTGCAACCAAGTACATGCCCTTGACTGGAATCGAACCTGGGACCTTTCAGTCCCTAGACAGACGCTCTATCCACTGAGCCAAACCGGTTCTAGCTAACAATTTGTCCCGCGTCCCGAGGCATTTTAAAAAAAGTCTCAATTTGCCGAAACCGGTTTGGCTCAGTGGTAGAGCATCCGTCTGTGAACTGAAAGGTCCCGGGTTCGATTCCGGTCAGGGGCATGTATGTTGGTTGTGGGCACATCCCCGGTAGGGGGTGTGCAAGAGGCAGCTGGTTGATGTTTCTCTCTCATGGACATTTCTAGCTCTCTATCTCTCTCCCTTCCTCTCTGTAAAAAATTAATAAAATATATATATTTTTTAAAAGTCCCGATTTTTTAAAAAATTGGGACTTTTTAAAAAAATATATTTTTTAAAACGCCACAGGATGTGGGACAAATTGTTAAAAAGCAGGCCGTCTGGTCACCTTAGGGTAGACCCCAAATGCTTCTGTGTGTGTGTGTCCGTGTCCACTGGGACATCCCCACACTGGGCCATGCACACAGGGGAAGCGCCCCCTCAGAGGGGCCCAGGCCTGAACGCCTCCCAGGGGGGTGTCCACCTGCACACACTCACCGATGGTCCTCGAGGAGGAGCCCAAAAGGCAAGGAAGGGCCATCTCCTGTGAACCAAGTCTGGGCCCTCCAGGCCCTGCTCCTCCAGGCCCCGCCCATTCGATCCAGGCCACGCCCATCAGGCTCCACCATACGAGCCCCTCCCGTCTAGGTTCGTCCCACCTCCTGCCCGCCCCTCCTACCTGGACAGCGAGGCCGCACGCACTTCTGCGCCTCCAGGGGGCGCCCGGGACACGCATCCCCTGTGGGGCTTGGGCAGCGGCGGCGGCGCAGACGACGACCTGGCCCGCAGCTCCCCGAACAGGGACCCCACGGGCCCCACGCTCCCCACGCGGCCTCTGCAGGGAGGGCGGGGGGGAGAGGGAGGATCAGGCGGCCGCCCACCCCGGGGACTGCCTCTTGGACACCTGCTGACACTGTGGGACGGGAAGGCTCCCCCGCCACGTGCATCCAAGGGCAGTCCTCCGAACAGAAGGCCTGCCGGGGACGCGGGACAAATTGTTAAAAATCGGGACTGTCCCGTCAAAAGCGGGACGCCTGGTCACCTTACTGTAGGTGCTCCGTCCAAGGTGCAGTTGCAGTACCTCCCCCTCCCCTCCCTCTCGCCCTCCCCGAGGTTAACCTGCTGCGCCACCTGCGTCTCCAACACATTTTGGGCTCAAAACACTCCCAGACAGAACGGAGCTGGACGAATGAGGGCAGCGGAGGGAGACGTGCTCCTTGGGGCCCCTTCCTGCTCCCGACCTGGGACCGAAGCTAAGCCCAGCCTCTCCCTTCGGAAGCCCCGCCCTCATCACCAGGTCCTGCCCTGTGCGAGGGCCCTGCTGCCAAAGGTCCCGCCTCTCCCTAGCCACAAGGACCCCAAAACCCGCCAATCGGGCCCCACTCACCTTGGGGGACCTCTCTTCTCCCCCCCCCCCCCCGGCCTGTCCACCCCGCCCCCTCCCGCAGGCCCCGCCCCGCCGTGGCCCCGCCCTCACCCAGCGGGCAGCGGAAGCGCACGTGGTAGTTGGAGCAGCGGCGGCCGCGCGGCTGCTCGCGGTTGAGGCACCAGAAGCCGCGCGCGGGGTTCAGGTGCACGCGCTCGCCCACCGCGGCCGGCAGCGCCCAGTCCGTGGTGCGCGCCTCCAGCGCCAGCGGCCGCGGGCACACGCGCGCCGGCCCGTAGTAGAAGCGGATGGCGGCCAGGCTCTCGAAGTCGCCCTCGCCGCCCGGGTGATCCACGTTGAACCAGGACGTCCACTCGCTGGCCTCTGTGGGCACCATAGGCACTTGGACCCGGGCCGAAACCTAGCCGGGCCCCACCTGCGAGCTGCGGGGCCTTACGGGCTGTCTAAGTGGGAGTCCTCCCCTCCCTCCCGCCCCAGGGAGCGCTGGGCTAGCCCATCCCACCCCTGACCCCACCCAGACCCAGAGCCTCCAAAGCAGCAGGAGCTGGGAAGGGTCACGGGAAGGTTGCCCAGTGCCGGAGCTGGCGCATCAGTGCGCACAGAGATCTTGCCACTGTCTCACCAGCCCTCACCCTCAGCATTCCGGGCCCTTGAGGAGAGACAGGAAGGCCGCTGGCGAGGCCTGCCTGACACCAGCCCTAGCTGTCGCTTTCCACTGCCTGGCAGCTCCTTGTTAGTGCCAGCCGGGGCCTTGCTCACTGCCTAGCTCAACCCACCACAGGTGGGAAGGGGCTGGCCTCCCATATCAACCCCCTAGAATCCTTTTCTGGCTCAAGAGCAATCCAATGGAAGGTTCCTGGCCTGAGAACTAGAGACTCAGGTTCCAGAACCCCTGCTCTCCTGTATGGCCTGGGCAGGTGGTCCTACCATCCTATCACCGTCCCTCTTCCGTTTCCTCGTTGACCAACACCTGGACTCTCACCTCCCTGCTCTTCAAACAGACCTTTTGGGGGCACCACATGCAGGGGTTGTCATGTCCAGAACGGTACTGGGCTCTTCACCCAGCTTGTGTCCCCACCTCACGTGTCCCCACCAGCCAGAGCTCACACAACTGTCCACAGCAGAGCCAGGACGTGGGCCCCGGCCAACTCACCTTCCCAGTCCTCCAGGGCTGCTGAGGGCTGGCCGGGGTGAGGCGCTGGGCCTTCAAGGCCCCACGTGGTCTCTGTGGGCTCCTCGATGAGGGTAGCGCCTGTGGAAGTGATGGGGAGTGGGAGGCAGGGAGGAACGTGGACGGGAATCCCTGTGAGCTCTCCTTAGGCAAGGTGCTGCCATGAGCACCCCCATTTCACAGGGGAGAACACCGAGGCTCTTAGAAGCCAGAGCCCAGTTCTCGCTGACCCCAAGGACTGCAGCACCCCGTCCTCCAGGGAGCCTCCTCTGACCCGAAGCCCCAAGTCCACAGGCCTTGGAAGTCTGTCCACCCTCCTCCCCAGACCAAATTCTCCCCTTAGACGTATGTTGCTCCGGGTCCAGCTGCATTCATTCCCCTTTGTGCGTTTGCTCGTTGGAAGTCGCTCCCTCACTCGACCTCGACCTCCCGTCTGCACTGGGGGCTGTGCTGCCAGCAGGAGGTCTTTGGAGCTGAGCCTGGCTTCTCTGGCCCCGAGTTGGGCTGGGCAATGACCTCAGACAAGTCCCTTCCCTCTTGAAGCCTGTTTCAATGGGCCCAAGTTCCCCCTCCGAGCGTTCCAGGAATGAGGCTTCCTTTTCTGAATGGGAGTGTGTGTGGAAGGGGGAGGCGTGAGGTAAGAGAGGCCAGGGCCGGAGGATCCGGGGTCCAGACGCTGGGGCTGAGGTTGAGATGGGAACCCCGCAAAGCCTCAAGTTCTCATCCCCATTCCGAGTGCCCCGCCGGCTCTTAGAGGAAAGTGGGGAAGGCAGGTCTGTTTCTCGCCCAGGCGGCACTGGGCTCGTCTCCCCGGTGCCCTCTCACGCCCCCACCCCCGAGTGGGGAAGCGAGGGTCCCTGGGTTCTCTCTCCAGACGCGCGGGGGGCATGCCAGGCCCACGGCCAGGCGGCCAGGCGCCCGTGGGGCTTGGGCTGGGGACAGGGGCGCCTCACCTCGGGCCCCCGCCAGGTGCGCGGCGGCGACACAGAGGCAGAGCAGCGGCGGCAGGGATGCCATGGCCGGTCCGAGAGTCCGGGAGGCTCCGGGCTGCACCGCGCGCTCGGGTCGGACTCCCGCGGGTCTGGCAGCCGCGGGGGCTGAAGGTGGGGGCGGGACCCGACAGCAGGCCCCGCCCTCCCCGACAAGACCCCGCCCCTCGTAGGCCCCGCCCACCCAAACCTCCCTTCGCGGCCCAGCCGCTGCGCCCGGAGTGCGTTGTGTGTGAGCCCCCTCTCTGGGTCGCCCCCTCGGTGCGCTCGGCGGTGCCTCCGCCTTCAGGATGGCCCGCGGCCCCCTGTCGCCGCTGGGGGTTCCTCCCTCCACCCTCCATTCCCCACGCTGGGTCCCAGGCTGCTGTGGGAAGTGCGTCTTGGAGTCGGGCCTGAAGCTCCCCAACCTCCACGCTTCAGGAGGCCAGATACCCTCCTTGGTGTCCAACTTCGATCCTATGGCCTTAAGCCCTCGGAGCAGGCTGCCAGTCCCAGAATCTCCCCTCTTCGGGGCCGGCGGGAAGTCCCGCTCTCCGCCTGCCCTTCCCCCTCCCACCCGGGCCGCCCCCTCCCCGGTCCCCCCCGCGGCGCACAGAGGAGCCAGGCCGGGTGGTGGGTCTGTTTATTAGCGCCTCCGGGTCACAGCGCGGCCACGCAGTCGGTGCCCGCGTAGCCGGGCAGGCGCAGCGCGAACTTGCGGCGCACGTCGTCGGGCACGAACCTGCCCGCCACGAAGTGGTGGCGCCCGGAGAAGCGGCCGGCGCAGCGCTTGGGCGCCCCCAGGGACACCAGCACGTCGGGCCGCAGGCTGTCCTCCGAGGCCGCGCCGGTCTCCGCGTCCCAGCCTGAGGGAGGAGGGGGGGAGGGAGGGAGTTGGGGGGGTGCACGCCCTCCGAGGAGAGTCCCAGCTTCTGTTTTCTGAGTCTCCATCAGACCTGCCTCCCCAGAGAACTGAGCCTCCACCCTCAGATCAGCCGCTTTCCCTCCTTGAAGAAGTTTTCCCTCCCCCTCATCCTTCTCTGCCCCTCCTCCCACCCTGCTACCCAGTCTTCCTCCTCCGTGGGAGTCAGCCTCTGCCTTCAGACGGCACCATTTCACCTGCTGCCCTTTCCTGGTCAGCCCAGGCCTCTCCTGGCGTCTGTCTGTCCCCATACGTCCCTTCCTGTCAATCCTGAGCTTCCCTGCTCGGACTAGAACCTCTTTCGACCCAGACTTCCCAGCCAGCCTCCACTTTCTGACCAGACTTTCCCCCATCCACCAGCAAGCCTCTCCTGTCTGACCTTGCCCCAGGCTCTTGCCTCTGACAGGAAGTGCCTCCCCTCCCTTGATTCCCCTCCCTCTGCCCAGTGCTCTTCCCCGATCTGACTCCTCTGCCTCTCCCTCTTGCCTTTTTACTTGGCGGCCCCACACCACCTCACTCATTGGCTCTAGGCCTCTGCCTCCTCCCAAATGACCTTCCACCTTCGGACGAGGGGCTTTGCCTCCTCTCCTGCCTCTGACTGGAGTCTGGAGCCACTCACTCAAAGCTTCTCCCCTCTGACTGTAATCATCCCTTCTGGGATCCCACCTCCACCCTCACACCAGGCAGCCCGCCTCCTACTCGCCACCCCCACCCCACCCCTGCTCCTCAGCATCCCGCTGAGAGGGCCCGAGGTCTTGTAAGCCAGGGAATGTCCCTCTGAGTCCGGCCACCCCGTGAAGGGTCCGGCTGGCCGGCGGCTGTTTGTTCCGTCTGCCCGTGGCCTAATGGCTCCACCAGGCACAGGGCGGCGGCCAGGACGGGCGAGGCCTCTGCTGGGTGAGCTCACGTCTGCCTGGTGAGGGCCGGGGTGGGCACTGGGCACGTTGGGCTGAGTGTGGCGAGAGGGGATGCGGGGTCACCTGGGCAACGACCTCAGTGTTCGCCCTCTGCCATCCCCAGGGTGCACCATCCATCCCCGAGGAAACAGAGGCTCCGAGTAGGCAGACCAACCGGGTAACAAAAGCTGGAGAACAGCCCCCCTCTCCAGGTCCCCCAGGCCCTGATGCACCCCCCTCCACCTGGCATGCCTGAGGGGATGTCCAGGCTCACGAGGGGGATGGATAGCAGCTTGAGGGTGGCCAGCGCACGCGTGCAGGGGCCCCCGGCCTCCCGGGGCTCCACGCCGGGGCCCAGCACAGCATCCACCACCAGCCCGTAGGCATCGTTGATGAGCTGGACCTGGGAGGGAAGGCAAGGTGAGGGGCACTCTTGGGGCACCATCCCCCACCTGCCCCTTATAGTTGCCCAGGAGTGCTGACCTCTGCGGGCAGATAGGACAGGAAGGGGATGTCCATCTTCTCACACTGGGTGGTCAGGTCCTGGTGCAGCGGGTCCAGGGAACGTGTGGGGTAGAAGATGGTGGGTTCATACTCCTGGGAAGGGGGAGGCAGAGGAGGAGGCAGGAAAGGGTCAGTATGGGGGCTGCCCAGGCTTTTACAGGCTCTGCCAAGTCTCCAGCCCTGGCACCAGGCAGCAGTATCCGGGACAAGCACTGGGCATACTCTGTGACTTGTCCAGTCTCAATGTTCCCCTGGATCACCACCAAGAAGAGGAGGTGACTTCTGCAGGGACAGAATGGGGGCCCCCCTGGGGGACCAAGGGGGTCCTTGCTACTCACAAACACCCGCAGGTGCCGGGCACAGACCAGTCCTACTGCCCCGTTCTGCTCGGGGCCGCACACCACCAGCACCGTCTTCTGCTTCCGGGAGAGAGCAGGCAAGGGGAACACCTGGGAGGGGCACAGCAAAGGCAAAGGCACGGAGCTTGCACTTCCTCCTGGATCAGGTGGGAAACGGAGGCCCCAGGTAGAGGAAAGACCCGAGGCTTGGGCTTGGAAGCAATAGGGATGAGGGGCCGGGCCACTTGGGGCCTCTGTTTCCTCCTTGGAGACGCGGAGTCCTGGCCTCAGGATCCGCCAGGCCAGAACAGGAAAGCGTGTCTCCAGCCACCATTGAGAGCCGGAGAGCCTGGACTGTGGTTTGTTTATTCTCGGCCTGAGTTGCAGACATTCTTCCACCTTTTTCCACTGCGGTGGCTTCCCCTCCCCCTCCCATTTTCCAGGCCCTCCCAGAGGCCCCATAGTTGGTGGGGAGGTACTTTTCCAACCTGCTGTGCCCTGTCTCTCTCCCCCCATCTCTCTCCACTGGCCTATCTTCACCTCCCTGTCTCTCTGTAGCTCTCAGACTCTCTCTGCGTCTCTCCCTCTAGTCTCTTTCTCCTTGTCTCAGTCTCTCTCTCTCAGACTCTGTCTTTGTGGGCCTGTACATCCCTCTCTTCCTCTCTTCAATACAGCAGTTAAACATGTTGCTGGTGTTAGAGTCCCAGCCTCCCTGGCTCTCTCACTCACCTCAGCCCCCTCTCCTCTCCCAGCCTCGGTTTGCCTCTATTACATAGAAGCTCTGACGGTCTCACGGGGCCTCTCCCTGACTCCACAGGGCCTGGCCATCCTCTAATCTCCAGCCACACAGAAGGGAAATTATTGCACTTTTTAGTTTCCTCCCCAAGGTCTGAGGTCCTGACTGACACTGCCCATGCCTGCAGCCCATAACAGCAGAGGCAGGGAGGGTGACACTGCTGGCCGGCTGAGATGAAGGGGCTTCTGAATGCCCAAATTCAGGGCAAAAACGGGACGAGTTTACTGCACTGGCTTTGCTTCTGTGGCTTAGATTTTCTCCATTTCTTTCTCTTTTGGGCGCATCACTCAGGATATGTTTCGTTTGGAAATAAAAACATTTAAGTAAAAAAAAAAATTGAGTTCACATAGAGAAAAATGTTGAGTTTTAAAAAATATACAGTGGCAATAAGAGAAAAAGGGGAGGAAGAAGAGAAGGATGACATACTGGAGCCCTGACTGTTGGGCATTTTCCTAAGGCGTTTATGTTTATTACCTGGTATCAGTTTATTACTCCTGTTCAGAGGTAACATGGGGCAAAGCACCGGATAGTAGTGTCATCGTTGCTATTATTTGCCAGTTCGTTGCAGGCACCGCAAGTGTTTGCCCCGGAGCCACAGCTATGCTTCCCAATCCCTGGGCCATCTGGCTGGGGTCAAGGTCAAGGGGCGAGGTCAGGTACCTTGGTCACAGCCACAGCACTGGCATGGCCACATAACTCCACCAGCTGCTGCCGCCCAAAACGGTAATCCTCCAGCAGCTCCCGTTCCAGAGCCGCGGCCTCCTCCGTGCTGGGGGACAGAGTTGGGAGAGAGGCTTAGAGACTCGGAGCGATGGAGACAGAGGCTCAGATGGAGTCAGAAATGTTCCACCAACGTCCCGAGTGAGTCTCTGATGCCACCGCGCACCTCCTTCGCCCCCCCAAACCCCTAATCTGTTTCCCCATTTGATTGAATGGAAACCAGGCAGGCAGCTGGTTTGAACCGAAGCCTGGTGCGCTGGCGCCCTCTGATGGTCGAGGAAGCACATGGTGGCGCATGTTGGTTCTGTTCTTCCTAAACATGGGAGACTGAGCCCCACCCCGAGGAACCCAGAAGGAGACATGGAGCCTGAAGGACTGTGAAGGGGGCGATGCGTGGATTCAGGCAGAGGAAGTCACTGGAGAGGGCTGACTGGACTGGGGGCGCGGGGCGGGGTACAGAGGGAGGTGTGTGAAGGCTGCAGAGGCTTTGACAACTCACTTAGGGAGGTGGGGTGAGACCCTCTCCAAAGTTAGTTGTAAAACTCAAATAATTGTGGCTAGGGAGATGGAGCCAACTCGCTTGAGACAAAGCTCTACTACGGAGTTGGCTTACTGGAGTGACTGGGGTCTAGTTCGTCTTTCCAGCCCTTGATTCCTCTGCAAAAGCGAAGGCGGGATGGGCTCGATTAATTTTGAGGGCCAATTCAAAATGCAAATGTAGTGCCCCTTGTTCAAAAATTAAGAATTTCAATGCCTTAACCGGTTTGGCTCAGTGGATAGGGCGTTGGCCTGCAGACTGAAGGGTCCCAGGTTCGATTCTGGTCAAGGGCATGTACCTTGGTTCCTGTCAAAGGCATGTACCAGTAGGGGATGTGCAGGAGGCAACTGATCGATGTTTCTCTCTCATCGATGTTTCTAACTCTCTATCCCTCTCCCTTCCTGTCTGTAAAAAATCAATACAACATATATATTTTTAAAATTTCAAGATGGTGATAGCAGAGTGTTAAACCAAGTGTTGGGCAGTTCTAACAGCAGGGACCAAGCTGGCTGGCCCTTGCTTAAGGGCCTGGACTTGGTGGGTGCAGAGAGGGAGAGCTGGCTTTGAAGATCAGGTGTCCCTCACTCCAGAATCAGGGGTTGGGCAGTTGGCAGGACCTTCGTGCTGGGGAGTAGCATCTACCCCCAGTTCAGCAGATCCTAGAGAGGATAATAATAAACACAATAATAGAACTAGGGTCCTCCCAGTTTTGCTCAGTGGGTAGAGCCTCCACCTGTGGACGGAAGGGTCCCAGGTTCAATTCCAGTCAAGGGCACATGGCTTGGTTGCAGCCTCGATCCCCAGGAGGGGGCGTGCAGGAGGCAGTCAATCAATGATTCTCTCTCATCATTGATGTTCCAAACTCTCTGTCCCTCTCTGAAATCAATAAAAACATTGATCTAAAAGAATAAGAAAAAATAAAAAGCACATGCAATAATAATAATAATAATAATAATAATAGAACCAGGCTCAGAGAGTTGGAAGAACAACTCAGAGAAGCCAAGTGGGTTGCCCAGGGTCATGCCAGAGGAAGGGGGAAACAGGGACTTCTACCTTTGGTGTCTGTCTTCAGAGCCACAAACAGAGTATGAACAAAGCAGCAGAGGAGCCGAAACCGGTTTGACTCAGTGGATAGAGCTTCGGCCTACGGACTGAAGGGTCCCGGGTTCTATTCCGGTCAAGAGCATGTACCTTGGTTGCAGGCACATCCCCATTGGGGGGTGTGCAAGAGGCAGCTGATTGATTATTCTCTCTCATTGGTGTTTCTAATCCTTTATCCCTCTCTCTTCCTCTCTGTAAAAAATCAATAAAATATTTTTTTTTTTTAAAAAGCAGAGAAAGCTCTACATATGGCAGAAGTTTGGGATGAATCCTAGATTTCCTCCTTCAATTCTGAGTAGGAAAACCACAACCTTCCAGCCAATTTTGCGGTGTGATTAGGCGGAGCAGCAATCAGGGCAGAGGTGGGAAATGAGGACTATGTGGGATGGGGAGTCAGGGAAGGCTTCCTGGAGGAGCTGGCCTGGAGCACTATGGTAGATAATCCAGGTGGCAAGGACAGCAAGGGCCAAGGCCTCTTGGTGGGAAAGCTTGGCAGGTTCGAGGGACAGAAGAGACCAGTGTGGCTGGAGCAGTGAGAGGAAGAGAATACATGCTTTGGGGGCCCACATAAATGGGGGAGATGAAGGCTGAGAGCAGGGCGGTTACATGCCCTGAGACCGCAGCAATCAGAGCCAGATTCAACCCCTAACTTGTCCTCAGCCAATGTCAGATGAGGGTGAAGTACCAGGTGGAAAAAGGAGCTCACGGTGGGGCTGAGAGCAAACCCACCCCTCCCCCATCCCTGGCATGGAAGGCCAGCCCAGCTCCTGGGAAGGGTGTTCAAGAACGTGGCTTATTTCTCCACCTTCATCTTGAGACAGGTCTGCCGGCAGCCCTCACAGGGGAGTCGGAGAGGGAGAGGATGAGAAGGATGGAGGATCATCCACTCATCCTCTTCTCTGTCTGTCCCAAAGCTTTGATCTCATCACCACTTGGAAAATTGTCTTCCTGCCTAAATGGTCATTAGAGTAATAATGGGGAGTCCATGCAAAGAGGGACTCTAGGCTATGGATAGGGTGTGAGTGGGCATCAGGGCTGAGCCATGTGGGACCAGGGGTAGGGAGAAGCGCCTCAGTTATGCGAGTACCTCTTGTCCCCCAACCAACTTCCCAGATGAGAAGGGCTTCGAGGCCCAGGATTTCCCATCAGCCCTGAAGGGCTGAGGTGACCTGGTTTCAAAGGGAACTGGGCCTAACACTTCCAAATGCTTCCAGGAGGGGGCTCTTTGTTTTTTGTTTGTTTGTTTTTTTAAAAAAAAACATTGGTTTCTCCTTTCTTTCAATATATTTTTATTTATTTCAGAGAGGAATGAAGAAGGAGAGATAGAAAGAAACATTAATGATGAGAATCATTGATCGGCTGCCTCCTATACTCACCACACTGGGAATGGAACTGTGATCTCCGATTCACAGGTTGATGCTCAACCACTGAGCCACACCAGGCTGGAGAGGGCTCTTTTGGAGGTAAAACCACGAGGCCAGGATGACCATGCCAGATGCTCCCTGTGCTCTCCGGACTGTCTGCTTCTCTCCGCCCTCCCCACCCTCACGCCTCTTCTCACCAGCCTGCCATTACTGCCCAACAGACCCCACGGAGGCGCCCGAGGATCCCCGCCAACAGAAGTCTCATGCCCCCCCCCCCCCAAACTCCACACCAACTAACACGGGGGCTTTGGATATTTGAATACCAGATCATGTCATGCCCTGTTGCAAACCTTTTTTAAGGCTCCCCAGTATTCAGAAAATATTCATATTTATCATCATATATACAAGCCCCATTATGTCTCTAACCTCATTGCCTCCTCTCCCCCTGTTCACTGGGTTCTACACACACCCGCCCCACAGAGCCCCATCGCTCGATTGGCATTTGAGGTGTCCCACTGTCCCCTTGCCAGATGAGGCCATTGCTTGTTTCTGGAACATTCATCTGCCCCTGCCTGGGATGGGCTAGGAGTTTAAGCTGAATCTGGATAGCAGCCAGAATCTGGACATCGGACAATATCAGCACTGAGAGAGGCTGGTCAGACAGTGGGCAGACTCCTGTGACATGAATCTGGTTTTCTCCAGCCCTGCTTGGTGTCCCATGTCACACAGGATGACTCAGAGCAAGGCGTGAGACTGTCATGGCTGCTGACTCCAGACCCCCGACAAATGGCCCTGGTGTTCAAAACCCGCCCTGGCCCTGGCTCAGGCAGTGGCTTCCCTCCCAGACCGGTTCCCTTGTCCAGACAAGGTGGTACTGCAGGTGGATCGCCATGGGGGTGTGTGAGCATTTGAGGAGCTGAGTGAGTTGAGATGGTAGCTCCAGGGTAGCTCCAGGGTAGCTGGGACATGGAAAGGGGAGGTGGGCCGGGTGGGGGAAAGGTTATGGAGGAGGGAGCAGCAGTGCTGATGAATGATTCACGGAGCGGGTTTGCTGCGACTGTGGTCAAAGGCGGGAAGCGGCAGGCTGTCTCCAGGGAAATGCGGGTGGGCCTTGGATCCCCGCTTCCCGTCCCCTCCCAGACATGCTCCTTCCCCCATTATCCCTCTGGACCATGCCCCTTCCTCACAGAGTCCCGGGCATCCCTTTCCCGGCTGACCTGAGGAAACGCCGATCCTCGGGCGCCTCCGTGGGGTCTCGGCCGGCCGCCCCAATCATGGCCACGGCGAGCCTGTGCGGGCAGCGGGGCCTGTGCGGGCAGCGGGCCTGTGCGGGCAGCGGGGGCCGGGCAGGGCAGGCTCTGTTTTAAAGCGCAGCCCCGACAGGCCCCGCCCACTCCCCCCGCCAATCAAGAGGCGCCGTGAAGGCGCTTTGCTAGGCCACTGGTCGCAAGCGGACTTAACTCTTTTGTGGCGGAAGCACAGCAGCTGGCGGGACGTAAGGACGCCCAGATGTCCATATTGGCAAGGAAACGAAGTCTGGGGCGGGGGTGGGGGGGGGGCGGCAGAAGTGGGTGGTGATAGGCTGGCCACACCTGCTATGGGGTCCTGGCCTGGGAGTATGGGGACACGCCTCTGCCCCCTGCCACTGCTCCTCTCCAACCTCTATCCATCCCTGGAGGGGTGGGCTGCCCTCAAGCAGAATTACAAGAGGTAGGGCAGTCAAGGCACACTTTGGAATCCAGGGCTGGCAGTGTGTTTTTTACTGTCACCCAGCATGGCGTTTTCTGCTGAATGTCCAGGTCTAGCCTCCGAGTCCCCACAAGGTGTGTGATCCAGTGGCGCCCTCCTCCCCCAGTCACTCAGTCCTTGGGACACAGGCAGGCAGGTCTCCAGAACATTTATTCACTCCATGGGCGGGGGCAAGGTCAGGTGGCATTTCCTACGTGTACCAGACGAAGCCATAGGTGGCGTTGACAATCTCCTCATTCGTGCGCAGTCCGTACAGCTCCCCCATTACCGGGGGCACCCAGCGCTTTGTGTGGAACACAGACTCGCCCACCTGAGGGGAAAGCGGGACAGGTGGGGGTACTGGCCACTGCGTCAGAAGCTGCCGCCTTCCTCACCTCACTCCCAGCACCCACTGCCTCTCTCGGCCTCAAAGAGGTTTTGTGAGGAAGGCTGCACTTCTGCAGCGGCCTAGACCCTTCCCTCCCTACAGGGACCCACCTTCCAGTCAGGCACATCCTTCATGATGACAGCCTCCTCCTCCAGGTTCTCCCGAAGCATCTGCAGGATCCTGTAAGGATGGAGTGGGAGGTGGGGACAGGCCTGAGTACCCCAAGGAACCCTGCCGAATGCACCTACCAGATCTCCTACTCACTCCCTCCAATCATCTCCTGCCACTTCCAACCCTGCACACACTGACCTCCTTCTTTTCTTTCTTTTTTTTCCTCACCCTGGCAAACTTTTTTTTTTTTTTTAAATATATATTTTTAATAGAGCAGTGGTGGCAAACCATGGCTCGAGAGCCACATGCGGCTCTCTGGCCCCTTGAGTGTGGCTCAGCGTTAGAACCTCTTCTTCAAAATAGACTCACCCAGGCCGAAAACTGACTTCTGCACATGGGCCACGAAGTTTCAATTGCACTGTGTTTTGTGGAAGAGCCACACTCAAGGGGACAAAGAGCCGCATGGGCTTGCAAGCTGCAGTTTGCCAAACACTGTAGTAGAGGCCCCATGCACAAAATTCGTGCATGGGTAGGATCCCTAGGCCTGGCCGGCAATCAAGGCTGATCTGCAGGGCAACCAGCAGTGCGATTGGGGTGGGGAGGGACTCCCGCGGGCACCTGCCTTGGCTGGCCTGGGGCCTGCAGGCAAGAATCAGCTCCTGCGTTGAGTGTCTGCCCCCTGGTGATCATTGCATGTCATATCGACAGGTTGTTCCACCGTTCAGATTTGCATATTAAGCTTTTATTATATAGGATTAATTTCAGAGAGGAAGGGAGGAAACATAAATGATGAGAGAAATCATCTTTCAGTGCCTCCTGTACGTCCCACACTGGGGATCAAGCCCACAACCCGGGCATATGCCCTGACAGGGAATTGAACCAGTGACCTCCTGGTAGATGCTCAACCACTGAACCACGCCGGCCTGGCTCCCTGGCAAACTCTTACTATTCTCCTGCCCCAGCCCCAACACTCCCTTCTTGCAGAAAACCTTCCCGTTCTCCCCTTGGTCTCCACTTTGTCTAGGCCCTCTCCAAAGATGCAGCTGCCAGTCCCCATGTGCATTTGGCTATGTCCCCGAACTGCCAAGCTGGGGCACTCAGGCCTATGACCTCCTGACCCTGGCGGTCCCACCTTCGGTCCTTCTCTGCCTGCAACAGCGGCATCAGTGCGATGCGGGCCTCAAAGTCCTCGATCTGCAAGCGCCTGTGAAACCCCAAAACCAATACTTGGATCAGATTAGGGTGGGCAGAGAGGGAGGCAGACGATGCGGCCCCTCCTTACGCAGTGGCCTAGACCCTTGCCCTCCCTACAAAGGATGGTGGTTGGGGAGGGGCGAGCAAGCAGCATAGAGCTTGGGCACTAGGCTCTGTCCTCCAGGAACCCGAGATGCTAGTGCAGGCATTGTCCACAAGACTGCTGGCTTCACACTTTCTTTTCAGTTAAAAAACTTTTTTTTTTTTTAATCCTAAAAATAGCCCAAGTCTGTAATTGCAGAGAAGAAAGGGAAGTGTTCATCACTGGGCTCTGGGCCTTATAAAACCATGTCCCCTTCACCTCAAAATAACATTGGGGCATTCCTTTCTTCTCCCTGCTCTCCAGCACCTTCCAAGCCCAGCCATGTCTGTGCTAGGGGGTGGGGAGAGTGGGCCCTATTGTGTCCCAGGGAGTGGCCTCTGGCCATATCCCCTCATCACCACGAATCTTACAGAGGCACAAGGAAGGGGTAGATGAACTTCAACCCCTCTGCTGGCCCTATTCCCCAGGCTACTGCCCCAGCACGGCCACACTGCGGTCACTACTGTGTCCCCCTAGGGGGCTGGGCCTGGTCTTGCCGGGGGCCCTCGCATCCAGCATCCACCAGGTGCTCCTGGGTGTACTCAGTAATGTGGAGCACCCTCCATGAGCTGAGCCTTCTCTAGCACCATCCTCAGAGACTCCTGGCCGAGTGGGGAACGCTAAGGACATGACATAGGTGGGATCAGGTGGAGGAGCCCAGCCAGTCAGAGGCCTATGACAAGGAGCCACATGGCAGGGAAGCAGATGCGCTCAGAGGTGGCTGGAGTCTGAACTGAGGCCATTGTAGGCCTTGGTCCCTCAGGTCCTGCATGGCTGGTGTGCCACTGTCTTGCATGATCTGCTTCCCATGCCCTTATATCATCATTGCCTGGTTGCCATGACTACCTGGACACCTTGAGTCCCCAGTGGCAGAGGCTGAAGGGATGCCTGGTGAACACCTGGAGGCAAGCTCTTTGCTTACTAGTCAGTCATTAAAGGTAAAACCCAAAAATGGATTTGCTGTGTCCCCAAGACCCCGCGGGGCTGGTGAGGGGCCCAGTGCATACCAAGCCCACAGGTAGGGCCCACCCTCGCCTGCACCGGGCCTACCTGCGCTCACGATTCCACTTCATCATGCTCCAGTGCCCAAACAGCATGGTCCCAATGCCCAGAGCGAACAAGCTGTAGCCTGTGGGGAGAGGAGCGCCAGCTCAGCATCTGCATGCAGAACAGGCCACCTGGTCATTTCTTCTCACGAAGCATGTCCGCTCGCGGCACAAACAACCCCAGAGCTACAGACGATGGAGGAGGTGAGATGCCCTGACCCCGCCCAGAGATGGCTTGCACGTCTTCAGACTATTTTTTCTCTCTGTGGAGTGTCCACTGGCCCGCTTCCAGGGACACCCCCTCTTCTATCACGTTTGTCCTCTGCAGGCAGGGGACACCAAAGAAGCCTCAGCTTCTCTCTCATCGACAAGACTGGCGGCAGCACCACCTCTGCCCCCGTGCTGGGGATTCTGGAAGGTATTGGCAGGGCCAGCAGGAGGACTCAAAGGTCTAGATGTTTATGGTTGGACTAGAGGCAGATACACGACATTCATGCAAGAGCAGGCCTTCCTTCCCCCGCTGCCGGCACCGGCTTCCCTCTGGCACCGGGACCCGGGCTCCCTCGCAGCCCCAGCTTCATCCGAAAAGTTGTCCTCGGTAATAATTAGCATATTACGCTTTTATTACTATAGATTATTATTACAGATGGCCCTGGCAGCGCAATCCTGCTGGAGGCTGCTTGGTTCCCAGCCAGCCAGCCAGCCCCTCAAGGATAGCTGACGTCCATGGCGAGGTTCCAGCTCCAAGGTAGCTCCTGTGCCTGGGCCACCTCCTTGCATGCTGCTCACAGGGCCTACCTGATGAAGGCAGGGAGGACCCTGTGCGAGGCTGTCAGAGGCAGGCTGTGCCCTTCAGGGGTTGCCACCCCCCACCCCCCGGCCTCCTGGGTGCTGCTCCTGGCCCGGCAGGGTAGATACCCACTCCCTGTCCAATCCCAGGGGAACAGGCTGCCATGAATATTACTGAGCTCCAGCAGACATTCACTGTAACCCTGACTGACAGGTAGTAGGCTTGCTGGGGTCTTCAGGGAATCCCAGACACCTGGGGCCTGGCTAGCCCTGCACCCCCTCATCTTTCAAGCCTGGTCTCTTCTCTGGCCAGGCCTCCAGGTTGCTGTGACAAATGGACAGCCTCAGCTTGGTCAATCTCCAGTCAACAACTAAAGGACTAGTCAACAAAGGGCAATGCGGCTCCCTGGGCCTCATGGGGAGCAGCGGGGTGTGTGTGTCTGTCTTTTTCACATCTGCTGGACCTGGAGCTACATGATAAACTGGCTCCATATTTCTCCCCTCAGTCCAGCTTGTTAAAAACACCGGCTCAGGTCAGCGAGGCACGTCAGAGCAGCGGTCGGCAAACTTGGGACCTCATGACCACCAGTGGTCCATGGACCACCGGCTGGAGACCGCTGTCTAGAGACCGCCCCTCCCAGCACACACAATGGTTGGCCACCAGTGTAGGGATTTTCACCAGAGCTGCCTCATTCTTTTTAATAGCTGCAGAGAGGCCCAAAGGCCTCCCCTTCTGACCCCACCCCAGGGGACTGACCTAGACGGTCTCTGTGAAATCCTTTGCCATCACACCTGGCACCCAAGTGTGAGTCCACCTACAAGATAAATTCCAGGATGCCTTTACGATGATGCAGCTCTAACTCATCTCTTCCTCACTAAGGCTACAAGGCCCAGGCCCCAGGCCCCGGGCAGGTGATGTCTGTGCTTTTGGAGTGGCCAGTATGATGGGAAAGGCCAAGGAGGGGCATGCCCAGAAGGGTGTGTGGACCATGGGTAACCAAGACATAAATAAATGGAAACACATCCTGTGTTTATGGATCAGAACTTAATCTAACGTTTTGTTCAGATGGCAGCACTCTCTGAAATGAGGTAGATTCAACACAGGCCTCATCTGGATCTCAACCCATCCCCCACAATGTGACAGAAACTGACTAGCAGATCGTGAAATTCAAATGGAAATGCAAGGGACCAGAATAAACAAAACAATTCCGAAAAAGAAGAACAAAATTTGAGGACTCACAATTTCAAAACTTCTCACACAGCTGTGGGTGCTGAATAGCGTGGCACTGGCATCAGGACAGACATGTATATCGCTGGCAAAGAGCTGAGAATCCAGAAATAAACCCTCACATTTATGGTCAATTGAATTTGTCCAAGGGTGCCAAGTCAACTCAATGGGGAAAGAATAGGCTTTTCAGCAAATTGTACAATTGGATAGCCACATCCAAAATAATAGTGTGCTCCTTCCACTCCCATCCACACAAAAAAATGAACTCAAAATTAATCAAAGACCTCGATGTAAAAAGCTAAAATTATAAAACTCAGAAAACAGGAGTCAGTCTCTGTAACCTTGGATGAGACAATGATTTCTTAGATAAAACACCAGAAGCACAAGAGACAAAAGAAAAAAGTTGATGAACTGGACTTCACTGAAATAAAAAAAAAAAAAAAAAAACAACAACTTGTGTGCTGCAAATGAGACCATTGAGCTGAAAAGGCAACCCACAGAATGGAAGGAGGTATTTGCAAATCATATATCTGATAAAGGAATGGTATCCAAAATATATAAAGAACTGTTCAATCTCAATGATAGCCCAGCATGCTCAGTGGTTGAGCATTGACCTATGAACCAGGAGGTTTGATTCCTGGTCAGGGATCAGGGGTCAGGAGTCAGGGCTCAATCCTCAATATAGGGCATGTATCATTGATACTTCTATCTCTCTCTCCTCTTCCTTCCTCTCTACTTGATAATTACACAACTACAAGTAGAAATCAGCAAAAATATATTTATATAAAAAAAACATACTCAATGATAAAAAGATGAGTAACCCAATATAAAAAAATATATATATTTTATTGATTTTTTACAGAGAGGAAAGGAGAGGGATAGAATTAGAAACATCAATGAGAGAGAAACATCGGTCAGCTGCCCCCTGCACGCCTTCTACTGGGGATGTGCTTGCATCCCAGGTATATGACCTTGTCAGGAATTGAATCTGAGACCTTTCAGTCCACAGGCCAACACTCTATCCATTGAGCCAAACGGGTCAGGGTGAATAATCCAATTTTAAAATGTGTAAATGATTTAGATACTTCTCTAAGAAAGCTATACAAATGCCAATAAACACAAGATGCTCAATACTATTAGTCACCAAGGAAATGCAAATTAAAACCATAAGATACCACCTCATACCACCTGGAATGGTGAGACTCAAAAGAATAATAGTGTCCAGATGTGAAGAAATTTGAACTCCCAGATGCTGCAGATGGGAACATAAAATGGTATAGCCAAAGTGGAAAATAGTTTGGTAGTTCCTCAAAATGTTAAATGTGGAGTTACCATAACCAGCAATGACATTCCCAGGTGAAATTTCACCTAAGAGAAATGAGACATATGCCACATAGACACTTTTACACACATGTTCATAGCAGCACTGCTCACAACCGGAGAAAGGTAGAAACAGCTGAAAAGTGCCTCCAGGGGGAAAGGATTCGCAAATGTGGCCCATCATACAAGACCATTACTCATCCATACAAGGAATGAAGCACTGACACAGCTACATGAACATTAAAAACACCATGCTGAGAGCTCGGCTGAGAGACTGCAGGGGGAGGGAGAGTGGGGAGTTTGGGGAGGGAGAGTGGGGGGACCCCTTTCTGAGCTCTGGCCTCTCCTGAGGCCCTGAGTTGTGCAGTTACCCCAGTCTCCCCCTCCCCCCGAAAAACACACCATGCTGAAAGACACCAGACACAAAAGACACATTGTGAATGATTTCATTAGTATGAAATGTCCAGAAGAGGCAAATCCATAAAGACAGAAAGCAGATTAGTGGTTGTCAGGGGCTGGGGGAGTATGGGGTTTCTTTTGGGAGTGATTAAAGTGTTTTAAATTTAGACCACGGTGATAGTTACACAACTGCAAATAGACTAAATATCTGTGATCTGTAAACACAAAACAGGTAACTACATGGTATGAAATCTCAATACAAATGTTAAAGACACAAGAAAAAAAGGAGCCCCATACTGGGCACAGGAGGTGGTGGAGCGAGGAGCTGGGTGAGAGATGAGGATTGTGGGAGTAGTGGGTAGTGTCACCTTAGGAGCAGCAGGGATTGAAGGCAGCTTGAGCCAGCTTGGCATGCTCTGGGACTCTGGTGGTGAGTGGTCCAGGGAAAGAGGTGGCAGGATTGAGGCCACAGTGCCAGGCTCAAAGGAGGCAAGGCTGGAGGAGGCCCATGACAACAGAGGATGAGGGTGGGGTACAGGACAGAGCACAGGGTCTTTGCACTCACTGTTCCATCCTTCTGAGGAACTCCTGCTCGGAGAGGTCACCCAGGCCCTCCCCAGCTAAAGCAGGTCTTGGCTAGCCCAGGCCCCTCCACTCACTACAACAGGAAGGTCAGGAGTGATATGACAGTGAATTCAAGACAAGGCCAGCAGCCATGTGCACACTCAACAAATAGTTAATGAATGAATGCAAGAGCTTAAGCAAAGCTAAAACTGGTTGGGCTCAGTGAATAGAGCGTTGGCCTGCAGACTGAAGGGTCCCGGGTTCAAGGGCGTGTACCTGGGTTGCAGGCACATCCCCAGTAGGGAGGGTGCAGGAGGCAGCTGATGGATGATTCTCTCTCATCGATGTTTCTAACTCTCAATCCCTCTCCTTTCCTCTCTGTAAAAAATCAACAAAATATATTTTAAAAAATAAATAAATAAAAAGAGCTAAGCAAAGACCACACCAATGGAAGGAGTATCTTCCTCACACCTCTGCAGCCAGCAAATACTGGGGTGGGTTTGCATGTGTTACAATGAAAGTCATGTAAAACGGATGTGATTTGGAGACCCAACTCCAGGCAATGGCATTTAGGACCCGCTGCGCTATGAACAGGAAGAGGACCAGTATGAAGGTGTAAAGGGTGTGTTTGCAGGTAAAAAGAAGAAAAGATGCCGAGTGAGGAGGGCCCAAGGAGACCCAAGGGCTGGTCACACAGGAGCATAGTGTAAACGACCTACGTAGCACACCTGAGGGGTGCACTGGCCTGGTTGTTATGACTCAGATTCATTCAACGTGCTCTAGGATGAGTTGAGTGTCCATGTGGTGTCAAATCTACCTTTAACCTGTTTTTGTATGGCCACTTTTAGATTTGTAAACAACTGTTAAAAAAAAAAAAAAGCAGCAGCAGTGGACAGTGGATAGAGACAATCTGGCCAATAAAGCATAAAATATTTATCTGGCTCTTTATAGAAAAAGTTTGCCAATCTTTGTTCTGGAAAACAAAAAAGACAAGAAGGGAAGGGGAAGGACTTGAATTTTCAATAGACAACTTTTCTACCATCAGAATTATTATTATTATTTACTAGGTCTATGACTTTATTAAAGCATAATATGCACTTAAAAATATTATCTTTATTGATTTCAGAGAGGAAGGGAGATAAATAGAAACATCAATGATGAGAAATAATCATTGACTGGCTGCCTGCTGCATGCCCCATACTGGGATGGAGCCCCAACCTGGACATGTGTCCTTGACTGGAATCGAACCTGGGACTCTTCAGTCCACAGGCCAGTGCTCTATACATTGAGCCAAACCAGCTAGGGCTATACGCAGATTTTAATGTATTCACAATTCATTTGTTTTAAATTTCTTTGTTAATCCTAGGTGTGAAGTATGTGCATCTTTTACTTTCTCTCTTACTTTTTCTGTGATGAACCCAACAACAAATTTTTTTAAAAATATATATTTTATTGATTTTTCTTACAGAGAGGAAAGGAGAGATATAGAGAGCTAGAAACGTCGATGAGAGAGAAACATCGACCAGCTGCCTCCTGCACACCCCCCACCAGGGATGTGCCCACAACCAACGTACATGCCCCTGACCGAAATCGAACCTGGGACCCTTCAGTCCGAAGACCAATGCTCTACCGCTGAATCAAACCGGTTTCGGCCAACAAAATTTTTAAAAAATATATTTTTTATTGATTTCAGAGAGGAAGGGAGAGGGAGAGAGACAGAAGTATCAATGATATCAATGATGACAGAGAAATCATTCACTGGCTGCCTCCTGAACACCCCACACTGGGGACCAGCGCAACCCAGGCATGTGCCCTGACCACAATGGAACTGTGACCTCCTGGTTAATAGGTCGACTGCTCAACCACCGAGTCACACTAGCCAGTCTCGAATTTTAAAATGCTACGTAAAACGTTTGAAAAAGAATATATAGCCGAAGCCGGTTTGGCTCAGTGGTAGAGCGTCGGTCTGCGGACTGGAAGGTCCCAGGTTCGATTCCGGGCAAGGGCATGTACCTTGGTTGCGGGCACATCCCCAGTAGGGGGTGTGCAAGAGGCAGCTGGTCGATATTTCTCTCTCATCGACGTTTCTGGCTCTCTATCTGTCTCCCTTCCTCTCTGTGAAAAATCAATAAAATATATGAAAAAAAAAAAAAAAAAGAAAAAGAAAAAGAATATATATATATATATATATATATATATATATATATATATATATATATATATATCCCCCGGGGATATCCTACAAGTGAGGAGCACCAGTGAGGAACCACCACAAAGAACATCTTTTAAATTCCTTCGGTGTTCCGGGTTTTGAACCCAGCTTCTTTCGGGTGGCCCTGCAGGTTAGGTCGCAGCCTCCCTCGGGCCTCGGTTTCTGCACCTGTAAAATGGAAGCGTGGCCGAGGGCTAAGGGTTCAGGCTAAAACTGACCTCAATTTAACCTACTGTGAAAAGGAAATGATTAACAGGACCGACTTCTGGGCTGTTAGGAGAAGAAATTAAAGGGGTTAGTAATCGCTGGACAAATGACAGCCGTTATCGTTAATGTTACCACTGACGCTACCTATAGACTCAGACTCCGCCTCTCCTCACCCCGCTGCGGCGCTCAGGAGGCCCGGACCCTGACACCAGCGCGCAGACGGACACTGACCCGACAGTCCCCGACGCGGAAGGTTCCGTTTGTAGTCGATGGGGCCGTAGCCCCCAGGAGGGGGCATGTCCTGCTTCACCTTCGAGGCCGCCATGTTCCGGTGCTTTGCACTTCCGGTCGCGGACGGAAATGACGTCACCGGAGGTCGCCGCCATGATGAGCGTGGCGGAAGCTGTCGCGCAGGTCCCGGGTGGGGCCGGGGAACCCAGGACGCTTAGTGTAGCGATCCTACCGCGCGGCAGAACTCAGGCTACGATGGCCGGCTGCAGCCAAGGGGTCCTTATTTCTCCTCCCAGACGAGGCGTGGCTCAGCCGGTGTGGACGGCTGGAACCTGCGGGGTCGCCCAGGTCCTTGCATCAAAGGACTTCCCTTTCACCTTCCCTCTGGGGCGATGCGCGGGGCCATCAAGCTCCGGAGGGAGGCAGGTCACCGAGCTGAGCCCCCTTTCCCGTTTCCCTCCCCTCTGGGTCTGTGCGGGCAACCCAGGGCTCCCATGGGCAAGGCTTGGTACAAGTAGGTGGGTGGGGGCGGCAGCTGCTCACATTTGGACTCGCAAGGAGCCACCCACCCCAAACGACCCCTGGCACAGATTCTGCTCCTTGGTGGTGGTCGGGAGCCCTTGGTAGTAGTAGCCAGGAACTGATTGTGAGTCATAAAGCCCTAGGGCTTTGGGGAGGGTCCATCCCAAGGCGGGGTGACGCCCGCGGGGGCCCCCACCCCGAGGCGGGGTGACGCCCGCAGTCACTTCACAAGGCAGAAATTGTTACCTGGGCAATAAAAGGCACCGAGGCAGCCGGAGCCCGGGAGTGGGCACATGGGGGTGCGGGTGTGCAGGTGCCAGGCGCCATGGGTTAGGCCCGAGATCGGAGTCCGGCCGCCCCCCCGACAGCAGCCGCCTCCTGCTCTCCGCGCGCCCCGGGCGCCACCATGTCGGGCGACAAACTCCTGAGCGAACTCGGCTATAAGCTGGGTCGCACGATAGGTGAGGGCAGTTACTCCAAGGTGAAGGTGGCCACGTCCAAGAAGTACAAGGGAACCGTGGCCATCAAGGTGGTGGACCGGCGGCGCGCGCCGCCTGACTTCGTCAACAAGTTCCTGCCCCGCGAGCTGTCCATCCTCCGAGGAGTGCGGCACCCGCATATTGTGCACGTCTTCGAGTTCATCGAGGTGTGCAACGGGAAGCTGTACATCGTGATGGAGGCAGCCGCCACGGATCTGCTCCAGGCCGTGCAGCGCAACGGACGCATCCCCGGGGGGCAGGCCCGCGACCTCTTCGCACAGATCGCCGGCGCCGTGCGCTACCTGCACGACCACCACCTGGTGCACCGCGACCTCAAGTGCGAAAACGTGCTGCTGAGTCCCGACGAGCGCCGCGTCAAGCTCACCGACTTTGGCTTCGGCCGCCAGGCTCACGGCTACCCTGACCTGAGCACCACCTACTGCGGCTCAGCAGCCTATGCCTCGCCGGAGGTTCTCCTGGGCATCCCCTACGACCCAAAGAAGTACGACGTGTGGAGCCTGGGCGTCGTGCTCTACGTCATGGTCACCGGGTGCATGCCCTTCGATGACTCGGACATCGCGGGCCTGCCCCGGCGCCAGAAGCGCGGCGTCCTCTACCCCGACGGCCTCGAGCTGTCCGATCGCTGCAAGGCACTGATCACCGAATTGCTGCAGTTCAGCCCGTCGGCCAGACCCTCGGCGGGCCAGGTAGCGCGCAACGGCTGGCTGCGCGCTGGGGACTCCGGCTAAAGCCCGAGTTCCCGCACACCCGCTGCCCCTAGCACTGCGCAAGCGCGGCCACCCGCGAGAGGCGCGCTTCCAGCGTCCCGCGAAGCCGCCGCGCACCCATGCGCATGCGTCCTTCCCCCTTTCCTCCTTTCTCGACCGCCGGGGCCACAGTAGCCCCGGTTTGGAATCTAATTCCTCCTCCACGAATCGGAGAGCGCATGCGCATCCTCGACTACCCCCTTACCCCCTCAAGAAGGCCCCGGGAGGGGGCGAGACCGGAGGATGCTGAAGCATTGCGCCTGCGCGGACTGAGCGACTGCTCTGCGGCCGGAGGAGACTGCCAGGTAGAGCTGCCCACTAGGGGGCGCACGCTGAGCGCGTCCGTTCCCAGCCCTGCCCCGCAGGCCGCCGCGGGACGGCGCGCTCTGGGCGTCACCCGCGTTGTAATTTGCAATAAACTCGCTCTACCTCGCACCTTGCTCTAGCAATGCCACCCTTTTACGGAGCGGGGAGAAGGGGTCACTCCCCGGAAGGCAAGCGCGGGCGCCCCCTTTTGGAGAGAGGTTGGTTAAGGTTCTTGCTCCAGTTCTCAAAAGGGAGTTGGTGGGATTCGAACTTGTACATTTTGGGCTCCCCCAGCCTGGGAAGAGTCGAAGGGACTTTGAAGTTGTTCCCAGGGTCCTGCGAATAGAGATGTTGGGCTAGGGAGCAGAGACCCAGCACCCTTCTCATGTTTTAAGGAGGGAATGGCATGGGTGGGTTGGGAGACCCTGTCTCGAAATCAATTGAGCATTTACGATAAGAAAATTGATGCCCACACAAATGTCACTGCCTATGAACACAGCTGTGATTTGAACCCAGATATAGCTGAAGTAGAATAGGGAGGTGGTGGAAGCTCTCCTTAGTGAGCGCCCCTTCCTTAGGGTAGGAAGGAGTCTGGGGGTAAAGTCAAGGGTGGGGCATAAGTCCACTGGACAAGCTGATTTGTTCAGTTCTCTCTTAATTAATACATTTATTGAACTTCTGTATACCAATCTTTGGTACTCAAGAAGCTTAGATCCATCTCTGCCTTTAGTTTGGAGACAAATGAAAAGCCAAGTTTAAAAAAATGCATGGAAATCTTTTAAAAATTGTAAGTTGTGCTAAATGCTGGGGGAGGATGATGCCTGAGGGATTGAAGGAGATATCTGAACTGAACTCTGAACTTAAGAAATCAGCCACTGGAAATAGTGGAGAGTGTTTTCTGAGTCCCCAAACAGGATGGAGCTGATGTGTTTGAGTAATGCCAGGAAGCCCCTGTGGCTGGAATGGAGAGGAGGTGAAGTAAAGGTGTATGTCTGGAGAGAGGACCCCATATGGCCTGGGGAGTTTGAGGGTTATTTTGCTGTGATGAGGTTACTGGTATGGGAAACATCTCCCTCATCCTTAATCCTGCCTGCTTCCATCTGAAGCCCATGACCAGTTTAAGGAGACCATGCCCCACCCCTGCTCATTCACTCCCCATGGCTCTCAGGTGCCCTGGGGATTAAGTGCCAGCTTTCCTTTCGCCCCCTTGAAATAGGCTGTGATCCCAGCCCATTTTGCAGATGAGGCAACAGGCTAAGAGAAGGGAAGTGCCTTGCCTCCATCTGGCTTTTTCACATCTAAATTGAGTCAGAAAAACCAACGTTTTGGTTTACATTAGAAGGGTCCCTTTCCTTACCTGGACCATGTCTCAGGCTCTGCACTGGGAAATGGGGGCAGAAACATATCGTTGGGGTTGTTGGAAAGGGCTGTCGCTTCCTGGAGGGCTGCACCTCAATCCTTCTCAAAGCTCCCACTTCACTTAGAATAAAACCCACATCCTTTCCCATCTTCCCCACCAGCCAGCCATACTGCCTTTCGCATCCTCCACCTGCCAGGCTTGGTTACACCTCAGACTTTTCACTGGCTGTTCCCTCCCCCAGTAATACTTTCCCCCTTCCCATTCAAGACTTGGCCTACAAGTTCACCTCCACGTCATTCCATTCTTTTCCCTCTTTGCCAATCATGTACAATCCCATCGCCTGGGGTGTGGCACATGCCTTTTTCTGTTCCTCACTGATGAATCTGCATGAGCAATGGGCCAACGTATTCTTCCAACTATAGCCATAGAGCCAGCTTAGTTTCGAAGGGACAAAATCTCAGGGAACCAGGGTGGGTGTACCATTTGTTAGCCTGAGAAACAGACTCACCTCTGGGTCCACTGAGGAGCCTGTGGCTGATCCAACAGACTCACCTGAGGGCTGAGTGCAGCCCCTAAGAAAGCACTTCATAAGTGTGTTTCCCACGGCCAGTGTTAAAGCGTGGGGCATCAATAAGGATGTCACAGATAGACTGGTCTAGGCTTAGGTTTGTTATCAGCCATGGTGAAACCGAGCTGGCTGTTGGGGAGGGCAGTTAGCACCCACCACCAGGGGCAGGGATGCTTCAACAACAAAAACAAGAACGGGGGGGGGGGGGGGGGGGGGGAAGCACCTAAGAAAACACTGGTAACAGATTACCCAGTGATCACAGGTCTCAGATAGTATGAAAAACTTGAAACCATGTGACGTGAACCTCTAAAAACAAATTTTCACAAGTAATTGCTCATTTCAGGGCCTGGCTGAGTAGCTCCATCTGTACTGAAAACCTGCACCTGTAATATTGTGTCCTGCAGCAAAGACTTAAAGTGGAGCCAAGCCTGAAAAGCGCTCTGAAAAAACCCACCACTCAGGGTGGAAACTGGAAGGGGTTTAGAACCAGTCCAAAGGGAAAAACCCATTGGAGTCTCAGCCACTCCCCCAGGCCACAAAGCTGCTGGTTTTGGTGGAGATGGAGGCTCAGGGGCGAGACCGCAGTGCCCAGCTGGGAAGGACTCCCCCCACATGGGAAGTGAAGTCCCAAGTAAGCCCAATAAGCAGATTTCTTATCCTTTGCTTCCATCTTAACAAAGGGTCACTCCGCTGTATTTACCCAGTTCCTAGCCTGCCCCATACATGGACTAAACAATGCAGGAAAACCAGAGCTGAGGGGACAAAAGAAAAATATAGCCAACACATTTCTTTATTGTGTTTCAGATCTAAAACTTCCTTGTGACATTATGATTAGCCATTTATTCCAGCCTGTTTATGGAACTTCTGGTTTGGTGATCAACTTTTTGGTTTTACATTATCAGCAAAGATTTACTCAAAGTAAATACAAGTGACCCCCCTCCCCAAATCTACCTCCCTGCACTAGTGTAACTGTTTATTATACTTTGCTAAGGATTACAAAACTTTAGCTGTCATTTAAGAAAATATCTATTTTTCATTTATTTCAGAAAGGGAGATAGAAACATCAATAATGAGAATAAACTGTCTCTTGTGTGTGCGCGCGTGCGCGCAAACACACACACACACACACACTGGGGATCGAGCCGGCAACCCAATCATGTGCCCTTGACTAGAATCAAACCCAAGACTCTTCAGTCTGCAGGCTAATGCTCTATCCACTGAGCCAAACCAGCTAGGGCATAGCTGTTATTTTAATGAAAGCTCAGAGTTCTTTAAGCAACGTCATGTGCAGCATATAACTTGGCATACACACACACACACACACACACCCCTATGGCGCAACAGCAAAGACCACTTCCATTACTTACACTCCCCTGTGATGAGAATGCTTATATTACTTACACAGAAAACTCTTCCCTTTGTCACTGCCCATAGGAGAGATGTGTGGAACACAGGGCAGGGCTGTACTCAATAGCCTCTTTCATTTCCTCTGCACTTTTTGCTTCAAGATCTTGGAGAGTGAATCAGAGGCCCCTGGAGAAGGGCCATTCTCTGCTTGTCCAAGGTGTGGTCCTACCTTCACAGCTGGGACAATGAGGACCAGAGTCCCCATGTCATGGTCAGAATGGCCAGAGCCATGAGCAGCTCCAAGGAAGTATGGATGTCTGTGAACATACACATATGCACTTGGCCATTTCAAACCTGCATTTCAAAATAAGGAATAAGCTTGTGAACCCCACACCCCAGTCCATGGAATGGTGACATTTTAAAGTTTCTAGTTGCTGTCAGAGGTCTGTGTCCCAGATAAGTAGGGACCATTAAAATTGTCATTTGAGCTTAGAGGCTCCTACATTCTCACTGCTTCTGGAAACCGGGTCCTCTCAGCCCCGACACTCCTAGGGGACACCAGGACCCCAGCACTGTGGCAGATTTTTCAGGGGGTGAACTTGGCTACTGAGAGAACACACTTACTGTTAACATCCTTTCCTAGTATATTCAAACCCCACACCAGAGGGGTATTTAACAATGCCTTGTCTGAAACATCTTAAAGTCCATCACATAAATACCCACTTAGGGCTTATCATAGATGTTACAACGCAAAGTGGGAAATTGAAGATAAATGAAGGGGTGTGGAATTTTAAAATGGTAGAAATGAACTAAAGACTAAAGCAAGCATATCAAAGGCCATGAGTTTGACATGCTTGGACTAAGGCCTCTCATGTTCTTGCCCTTTTAAAAAATTCTTTTTTAAAAAGCAGTTCACTGTCCTTTATTACCATCCCTGGTAATGGCCAAAAAAATTTTAAACATATTTTTTATTGATTTCAGAGAGGGAAAAGAGATAGAAACATCAATGATGAGAGAATAATTGATATGCTGCCACCTGCATGCCCCCCACCCCTCCAACCCAGGCATGTGCCCTGACTAGGAATTGAACTGTGATCTCCTGATTCATAGGTTGATACTCAACCACTGAACCACACCAGCTGGGCTTGCATTTTAAAAAGCTACATTTTCATCCTATTAAGTTGTCCTTGATGGGAATGTGCCTGGGGGTGCTGGGCTGGATGAAGGCAAAGCCAAGGCCTAGCTGTCCTGTCCTCGGCCTGAGGTGGTCTGGTCCAGCAAGGTGAGATAAGAGGTGGTTCCTGAGTGCAGCTGAGCCAAGTTCTGATGGGGCTGGGGATGAACATATGCCTCAAGTCACAGACCCAGTCAATCTGGATGGGAGGTTGGTGGCACTTGAGCTGTCAATTTAATAAAACGTACCCCTCCAGTGCATGAGTGACTTTGGCCCAGACACCTGATTCAGTTACTGCATATAACTGAGGTCTATTTGCTGGGAGTGGCCAGCCCAGTGCTCCTTGTTGGACGATTTGAAGTTTGGCCCATGTAACTGAACAGAGAGGGCTAACAGCTCAGGGTAGTACGTAAGATGGGTATTTATTTACCAGGCTCGTGCGTGTGCATACACACACACACACACACACACACACACACACGCAAGAAATAGAAATGCTTGCATATTTTTGTTGTATAAACACATCCTTTGCCCATACTCCTGAATGTTAATTTCCCCTTCTCCCCTAATCCCTGCATTTTGTTATGAAAGCCACACTTCCCTGCCCTCCCCTCACCTTCCTTCAGCCCATATACTCAAAACAAAAATCAATGAGAAATTCAGGGTTTCATAGAACAAAAAATTAGAACATTTTGCAAAGTTAGGTCTTCAACCACATTAAAAATGTTTTCTAAACACTGATATTCACTCACACGAGAGGGGGTTAAATGAGCCTTTATTAGAATGTTGAAGCAATGTGTTCAAAGGCAGCCCTATAAAATAAGGATTTTAAGTTAAGTCCCTAACTGCATGGAAAGGAAAACCAGGGCAGGAGCTGAAGTGGGGAGCGATGTACCCCGTCTCCACGTCAACACATGCATGTGTACACACATGGGACACCCTCACATGTGCTTGGAGCTGGCGCTGTGTGCAGCTCACACATGACATCTGCCTTTCCTCATGGAACTGATTTTTGAGGAGTGGGAAAACCAAAATGAAACATGACTTAGCGCAGACCTGATCCTTTGTAAGACATTTCTGTAGACTCCAAAGAGGTTTTAAAAAAAAAAAAAAAAAAAATGAAGGTGAACACTGGCAGCACGGCCCTCCTTTAAAGGAAGGTTCTAAACTAGACCCAAACAGAAACCCTAGAGTCTGTGAGGGGTAAGGGCATCGCCCCACCTGACACACCTGATGGGAGCACAAGCCAGGGCAGCTTGGGATGTTGACTATCAAAATAAGAAGGAAAAGAAAAGGAAAAAATTAATAAAATAAACCACAACAACAACAACAAAAAAAACACGATAGCCCGTCCCTCCAACTTCCTGCTCAGGCTCTGTATGTTGCTGCCATTTCTCTACTCCCTTCTCCAAGGGCAACAGCGTGGCTTTCAGGATCCCAGGCACTCTGGCTGGGTCTGGGTTGCAGTTTGTTCTTCTGCTAAGTGTGGGAGGTTGGGGGTCTCCAGAACGAGCAGCAGTACAGGCCTTCTGCTGGAGCAAACGGGCTGGTCAGTCAGTGGCCCATCCTCTGGGGCATGAGGGCCGTGCTCGGCAGGAACCCCTGGGTCTGCATGGTTTACTTTAAACTCCATCATCATGAGGTGATTAAAAAAACTTGTCAACCTAGAGATTGCCGTGAAGGAAGGCAGTCAAAGATTGGGAGGCTAAGTGGGGAAAAAGCAAAAAGAAAACAACAGTCCACTCAACTTCCAAAGCCCCGAGCTCCGGTCTTGCCCGAGTGTGTCACAGTGTCCAGGCTGCCCATGTGCCCTGAGGGGGCTGAAGAGGAGGGCGGGAGCAGAAACAGCCCCCGAAGTCCAATTTTCTGCTGGTGTTGGGCAAACTAAAGGCAAAGAAAGGAGGAAAGCCCATGGGAAAGGTCCCCCAGGAATAATAATCCTCATCCACCTGTGAAGCGGCCCTCCAGCCACAAAACTTTGCAGCCAAGAATGAAGGGAGCTCTTGCTTCCGCAGTGCGGCAGACACTCGCTTGCTCGCTCTCTTGGGGAGCAGATGTCTTCCCCAGCGAGCAGAGGGTGGCGGGCCAGGTGGGAAGGAAGAGGGAGCCTATTCTCCATAAGGCCGGCTCACACTATTTCCACGTGGCCGACTGGGGGATGGAGCGTGGCGGGATCATGTCCAGGAGGTACTCCCGCTGGCGGTCCACAGCCGAGGAGGTCTTGTGCACTGTCAAGCTGGGGCTGACAAACGCAAGCGCCCCACCTGTAACAGAACAGAGCAGCAGGCTGAGATGGTCCCAGTCAGGGGTAGGCTCCCATGAGGACACTGAGTGAGCAGCCAAAATCCCACCTCAGAACTAAAGAGAATTTAAGAAATAACGTGCCCAGCTAGTTTGGCTCAGTGGATAGACTGTCGGTCTGAGGATCAGAGTCCCAGGTTTGGTTCTGGTCAGGAGTTGTGCAGGAGGCAACCAACTGATGTGTTTCTCTCACATTAATGTTTCTCTCTGTTTCTTCCTCTCTTCCATTCTCCCTAAAAAAAAAAAAAAAAAAAAAAAAAAAAATCAATGGAAAAATATCCTCGGGTGAGGATTAACAAAACAAAACAAAACAAAACAAAACAAAAAAAAAAGGAAAAAAAAAAAAAGAGAAAAAAGAGGGAAAAGAAATAACTCAATTTCCTTTACAATATTCTTAGCCTCTGCCACAGTAACAGATATTCCATAGGCTATTTGAGAGCTCTGTTAACTGAGGTGGCTACCACAGTGCTATTTAGGACTGAAAAATAACAAATGACTGAACGATGCAACTGGAAAATTAATAGTATGATGGAATACCATGTAGCCATCAAAAAGAATAGGGTAACAGTCTCTAAACCATTCAAAGGGGCACAGAATGGCACACATAGCATAATCCCTTTTAGGACACTCACATGTAGGACATGTGAATGAAGAGGCAGACTGAGGAAGGCCTCCACGTGCTGTATTTGACAAAATACCAGCTTTGCCATCATCTTCCTTTTTCATATTATCTACATATTCCCAAAGTATCACTTTTACCACTGGAAAATGATACACACACACACCAGCACATAGGATTTTGGCCGGCCTGGCCTAAGGACTGCCCTGGATCCCCAGCTATAGCAGCAGGGCTCTCCCAAGAGTATTTTTTATGGAGGTTAATAACTTTGTGGAACAAGGATTCTGAGGTCAAATGCATTAGAGTCCTCTCTGCATATTCAAGGCAGCACCACCAACTAGATCCCACCCAATTTCTCTCAAACCACCACCTAGAAACTCAGGGTAACCTGGAGCTCTGGCAGAACTCTCCTGGGAAATGTGGCTTCTAAGCCTTGATTTTTTACCTCTAATCTGACTGTGGAACACAGCAACTATTTATTCCTTCATATTCTCTTTCAAACATCATCCTTAAGTGCACACACAGATTCACATGATTGCTATCACAGTGTACACATACATATACTCATACTTGACTTTTCCCATTTCATATACTTCTTAATTTCCCACAAAAAGAATTTCTATCTAGCCTGTGAGTTCTTAGTTGTATGTATCTTATACACACTGAGCAAAAGTATCTTTGCCTAGTATTTACAAATGCTCTTTGCTTTCCAGGTGATCCAAATCCTTCTGTGGTCAGATGAATGTCTTATTCTCCTAAGCTCCTCTCCTATGGGAGACTCTGGTCAGCTGCATGTACAGTGGGTTTCTGTGTTTCCATTGCACAAACAGCCCTACTTTCTCAGGTCTTACGAGGGTTCCTCTATGATGGCGTTTCTTCTTCCTATAGGGGTGTGGCATGTGCTCACTCCCACAAATGAGCGCTCTCATCCATCTTCTTTTGTGTCTAGCGTTCTCTTTCCGGTTTTGCTATGTGTTTTTAGTATTTATATATATTTTTTGTAAATATTTTTTTTTTTATTGATTTCAGAGAGGGAGGGGGAGAGCGATAGAAACATCAACTATGAAAGAGAATCATTGATTGGATGCTTCCTGCATGCCCCCTACTGGGAAATGAACAGGCAACCTGGGCAAGTACCCTGACCTGGAAAAGAACCATGACCTGCTGGTTCATAAGTCAGCTCTCAACCACTGAGCCACACCCAGCCTTGACTTCCAAGTTTTTATTAATGATTTTAAAGAGAGGAAGAGAGAGGGAAGGAGAGAAACATCATGTGAAAGGGTAACATTGATCAACTACCTCCTGCACGTCCACTGGGGATCAAGCCTACAACTCAGGCACGTGCTCTGACCGGACATTGAACTGGCACCCTCTCTGTGTATGGGACAATGCTCAACCAACTGAGCCACATTGGCTGGGCTCACTTTTTCTTTTTTTGTTTTGCTGAATATATCAAGATTTTATTGTCATATAATAAAACAAAACATGAAGCTTAGAATTGGATCACGTGACCTTTTCTTTTCTTATCTTGTCCCAGTTAAAAATGCTTGCATCTCTTAATAGCCAAGCATTCTCTTAGATCTGCAGTTAGGCTCAACGCAGTCAAGCCTCAGCACAATCTTCTTTGTAGTTTTAGCCTTTTTTTTTTTTTTTTTTTTTTCCGGGATATCGGCTTGTCTGCCCACCATAACCACTCTGCTTCCTGTCATAACGCTGCTTTCCCTGTGCACACAGGAATCCTTGCCCTTCTTGCACTGTGTTACTTTGTGGGGCTTGATGCCTACCACACTTCTTATAGAAAGTTCAGCGGGTTTTAGGAACATTCATCATGTTTGCAAGCGCTATCAGCAGAGAAAGTCACTTTTTCATTTTAAAAAATATATTTTATTGATTTTTTACAGAGAGGAAGGGAAAGGGATAGACAGTTAGAAACATCAATGAGAAAGAAACATCGATCAGCTGCCTCCTGCACACCCCCCCAACAGGGGATGTGCTCGCAACCAAGGTACATGTCCTTGACCAGAATTGAACCTGGGACCTATCCACTGAGCCAAACCGGTTTCAGCCACTTTTTCATTTTTGATGGACAGAAATATTGCATACTAATCTCAATGCTAGCACATAAATAAGAAACTTTAAAATACGATGACCTAGGATGGCAGGACTGAGGGAGATTAAAGAAGATCTGCCTGAGCGCCTCCTCATCCCCTGGGGTTGTTCTTAAAATGTTGTCTTCCCAGGAGTTTGGGCGACTGGCTGAACATGCAACGTGCCTCCCCACCTCAGTTAAACTCCCAGCCCTCATCCCAGAGTCCCCCTCCTCACCCCTGCATTTTTTAAAAAATATATTTCATTGATTTTCCACAGAGAGGAAGGGAGAGGGTTAGAGAGTTAGAAACATCGATGAAAGAGATACATTGACCAGCTGCCTCTTGCACACCCCCCATCAGGGATGCGCCTGCAACCAATGTACATGCGCTTGTCAGGAATCGAACCTGGGGCCTTTCAGTCCACAGACCGACGCTCTATCCACTGAGCCAAACCGGTTTCGGCTCACCCCTGCATTCTTATTCTATTTTGATCTGTCCAAGTCAGAAGAAGGTGGGAAGAGTGGCCCTCAGATCAGGAAATAAAAGACACTATCTGGATGAACAAAAAATAGTATAGCAGGAAAGGTACAAGTTAACAAAGGTGTTCCCTTTGGCAGGGGCCAGGAGCCAAGGGGATAGATAAACATCTGCGGTGCCAGAAGTTTACTGGATGATGGGAGTAACTGCCTGAACTGGGCCTGTCTTGTTTTGAGTGAAGGGTTAAGAGTTTGGGTACCTAGTGTGAAGACACTGAGCGCTACTTACTATCTACCCAGGGATGCCACTTGTTGAGGTCATCCTCTTTAGTGAACAAGAGAGATTCAGCTAAAGAGTTGGAGGCAGTGTTCTCAGGGAGCAGGTCTGGGGTTCAGGGCCCGTTGTGCCATTTCCTTTCATCATATGCAAGTCTTTGCTAAAATAAGAAAGGGATGGACCCAACCATGGCAAAGTCCCTATTTTGAGCCCCCTGGCGGCTTGCCTACCTACCTGTACTCAGGGGTGCCTTCTTCCAGTTGGAGGTGGCATTGCCCTTGCCAGAACTAACGGCTCTCTCGGAATGTTTGCCGGTCCTGCTGACAAGAGCTGTGGCTGAGGCTGCATTCTGCAGTTTGGGCGACTGGCTGAACGTGTGCAGGACGCCTCGGGGTGTCGTGGCCGAGCCCCGGGACAGCTGGCTGGAGGCCTGCAATGGAAAGAGGGTGCAATGGCTCATATGGGAAAGGAAAAGGTAGAGAGTGAGGTGCTCAGTGCAGCCTTTCCTTGCTGTGGCTGACCTCTTCCCACCCACACGGGGTCCCTAAAGTCCAAAATCAGGAGACCAGGTAAGTTACACCAAGGGGACAGGGAAAGGAAAGAGGGAGAGAGAGAAACAGAGAGACAGACGCAGGCTGCTGACGTGGTCACGGACTGGGGCGTGAGGGCTGGTTGGTGGCTCGGTGCAGGGGACTCCCAGCACTGTAGTTCTGACCTGTAGCACAGCCCCGTTACTCCAGTCGCGGGCCTCTCCTGAGCGGAACGCCAACTTACGCCGGGGTTTTATGACCTATACAAATGGGGGTTGAAATCAAGATCAGCACCATCCACAGGCTGGCCCAGGGCGACCTAGAGTGACCAAAGGGCAGCAGTGTGGCCACACGAGGCCTAGTCCCCCATATGACAGGCCGTTTCCCGAGGACAGTGTGGCCTCCCACTATTATAAGGACCTTGAGAAGATGTGGTCATTAGTGAATTACAAATGACTTCCAAGGACACAAAAAACTGCCAACACAAAGCTTTGGATCTATATGGGGTGGAAAGCAGAGCATAAAAACAAAACAAAACAAAAAAAAAAAAAAACAGCAGCCAAAAAAAACTTGATTTTAAACTTCTTTCTCTCCTTAATTTAGCTAGAACATTTCTTCAGAACGCCTCTTTTGTATCTCAATGTGGCTTTCAGAAAAGTCCTTATAGACAAGAAAGCACTTGTCGGCGGCACAATGAAAGTGAAAGCTACAAAATCTAAAAAAACTGCAAATTAGTATTTTCACCAGTAAACACCACCATTAAACGCAATTTAGATGCAGTTGACAATCAGGCAGATGCTTGCCGAGTGTGGACAGAATGCCAGGACATGTGTGCTAGCAACAATGTCCCTGCCAGGGAAGAGCATCTCTCCTGGAGGATGAGGCCCCAGTCAAGTTCCCAGACCTCCAGGTCACAACGCTGGCTCCCAGACAAGAGCTCACCTGCTTCAGAGCGGGATGTGGGGCGGTGGCAGGCTCAGCTTTGACCTGCACAGGAGCTGCACCCTGTTGCAAAAGGCGCTGCTCGATCTCCTGCTCCTGCTGCAGTGCCTTCACAAAGGCAGCCTTCAGCCTGCTTGTGTGCTCCACCTTGAGCGCCTTCTTCTGGTTGGATGCCATGCAGTTCTCACACATGATGGCACCGCCCTTCTCCTCTCGCCAGCGGCATGTGAAGTCTGTCTTGCACTGCGCACACATGTAGGGCTCCCGGGACAGTACAACGGCAGCTGACATCCTGCCTGCTATAGGGCAGATGGGTGGGCTCACATCAAAGGAACAAGATGTCAATCAGAACCCCCACTACCCAGCATGCAGGATAGAAGAGGGGCAGCATCCTAAGCCAGGTGGCTCAATGGCTATCAGAGAACCAAAGCCTTAGTAGATGCCGACTGTGTACAGGTACTGGGCCATCCTCAGGGAGGCCTTTCAGGCTGAAGCTTTGGAAATGCTGTAGGTCAGGCATCCTTAGTACCAACTCTCAGAAACATTAATTACATAGCGCCATCAGCTTGGCTTCTCCCAATGGCCTTGCCCAGCCACAGTGTAGGACAGGGAGGCATCTCGTCCTGACTTGGCCTCCCGCCTGTCCTTCCTATACAAGCCTTGCAGCAACAGGGTTTTTAAAAAAATCCTCACCCAAGAATATTTTTTCAATTATTTCTGAAGAGAGTGAAAGGGAGGGATAGGGAGAGAAGGGAAGAGGGGGGGAGATATATCGGTTGTCTCCCACACCAGCCCAGGAAACTCAGGTATGTGGCCTTGACCAGGATTTGAATGAGCAACACTTCGTTGCGTGAGCCGATGCTCTATCACAGAGCTACATCAGCCAGAGCTCGCAGCTGCTCTTTTGCTAATAATATTACCATTATTCATTATAAAGAAGACACCAAAGGGAGCCAGACATACATCCAGGCCATGTCAGAGCTTGTACCCCTCTCTGTAGTCCCTCAAGGTAACCTGATAGGTGGAGCCTGTCAGCCCCTCCTCGTTATGACTATGCCTTCTCCTCAGCTATAAGCATTTGAAAAGATCACACAGGAAGAGGGTTCAGGATGGCTGCTCAATTCATGTCACTATCAGCTTCACCTCAAGCCACAAGTGTCCTTATTTCAGTGGCTGGTGGCGACCCCCTAAGAGTTAACACTGCCTTTACCTCCATTTTCAATATTGTTTTTGCTCACTATCCTGTTTATGCTCTTTTATTCCTAAAAGCTCCTACCCTACAGGTGCATTTTCCAAATTGTTTACAATGAGGGTTATTTAGTGAGTCTGTCGTAAGTGTAGGTACCCTCTCCCATCTTCAGTGCTCAGAACACTCAAAGCTCTGCAAAGTTCCACCCCTGTGTTGACTTCCTGTTTGGAAGCAAAGCCTGTCATGTCAGTCTTGGGCAGGCATTTCTCCTCACTGCCCACACCAACATCACAGTGCGGCTGCTTGGTACCCTGGACCATGCATGTGGGGATCTTGAGCTTCACCAGGGCCTGGCTCTCAGGAGGCCCTAACAGGAAAGGGGCCTGCAATGTGTTTACGAAACTGTTGAACTTCTGCCCTGGCTGGGTGCCTCAATTAGTTGGAGCACTGTCCAGTATACTAAACGGTTGCAAGTTTGATTCCTGGTTAGGGCACAAACCTAGGTTCCAGGTTCGATCCCTGATTGGAAAGCACATGGGAGTCAACCAATTGATGTTTTCTCTCTCTTTCTCCCTTCCTCTCTTGCTAAAATCTAAACATGATCTTGGGTGAGGATTAAAAAAAAAAAAAAAAAAAAAGCTATTAAACCTCACAGCAAGTAGAACTGATGATACAATGTTACCCTTAGCATCTAAAATACCCAATATCTTTAAGACAGCTCTAGGTACACCACAGGGGCATAGACAGGTGCTGTACATTGAGAAAAACCTATGTTACAGAAACTTCAGTGGCAAGAGATAAAAACAACCCTACCTCAGGGCCCACTCACCTTGCGTCTCCAGCAGGTTCTGTACCACCTCCTCCAGGCCGACCAGGTAGATAAATTCATTATTGGCAGCGCTGGGCAGGAAGTTCATCTCTGGGGCAGGGGGCTTGGGTGGGGGGATTTCAAGCAGCGTCTTCTCCAGCTGTTTGCGCAGTGCGAGCTTGGCAGCCGCCTGCCGGCTGGCTGGAGAATCACCAGATGTGACCACGGAAGTCACGCTGGTGGGGGTGGAGTTGCCCTGAGCAGAGGTGACTGTCGTTCCTTTCAGTGAGGCTGGGGATGGCTTTTGGGAAATAACAACATGGTCAGAGTGCTAGGGGTAACCAGCACTGCGGCAGGCCCTACTCACTGGACCCACAGCCCAGATCAGCACCATTAGTTGCACTAATTAATGAGTCCCCGAGAGAGAAATTCCGAGCTGCTTGATACCTGTGAGCAGCAGGCAGAGTAGCAATAAACCATTCACCCTATGAAATGACCAATCTTGTATACACACTGTTGAGGCTTAGCTGATATTCAATAATCCATACACATTAAAAAAAAATCTATAATTTGTTGCATTTTGCCAGGATACCCATAAAGCAACCCATCACTATAACCAAGACAATGGGCATCCCGCTGGCAATGTCCCCGCAGCACCAACCCAGACAGCATGGCCACCAACCCAGACAGCTCTATGGCCTGACCCTCCTCTCAGCACTGGTCTGGCAGCCTCCTTCCTCAAAGGGGTGCAATGGTGGTTCAAGTGTCATCTGTGGCATTTCCCTGTGAGCATCTTTGTGTGTGCTTATCTGGAGATGCTAATGTCTTTATCAAGGTTGCAGGAGTTTCTGCACCAACCTCTCACCCTGAGGTCACACCGCACCACCCTACTGTGCCTCAACCCTTGCTATTCCTGCACTACTTTATCCTCTTTGTTTAGATTCCAGTGGCCAATGCTCTATAGTCTCCTTGCTCCAGTTCACTCACCCTCAACAATGTCAAGTGCTCTCCCCAAAACCTGAAACTGACCATAATAGTGCTCTTAGCTTCATAAGGTAGAGGACCCTTTTGGAAATCTGAAGAAAAGTGGCATATACCATCCCCAGGAAAATGCACACACCTAATGACTTGCCTATAATACATCACAGGTTTTACAAAGCACAGATGTTTCCCAGGACCCTTACCACCCCCCACCCCCGAAGGTCTCAAAGTCAAAGAGACTCAACACAGAGGATGCCATCACAGCATCTTGACCTAGCCAATGCCTCATTGACCGACCAGTCAGTTCTCCCCTGTACCCTCCTTGGGGTCACCACCCCACTGCAAACAGAACCCCCTGGCACCACTGCTGTTGGCCTGCTTTCTTTTATCTTCCCTGCACACTGAACTGAGAATAGGGTCTGGCACCTGGAGGGATCCGGATCAAGGGTTATGGGGTAAACTGCTTGTATAGGTCAAGCTTTTGTTTTGCCAAGACATTACTATGTGGCAGCAGGATTATACTTGATCATGACCTAGAGAAGGCAGGCAAGAATATATTAGGCCAATGCCAATGGAGGCAGAGATGCTGACTCACCTATCAGCAAAAGCCCCTGCTACCCAATAATTTTATGTCAATGAGGCTTTGCTTCTAGTCTATTGCCCCACCTCCCCCAATCCCATCTTCCTGGCTCTGTTGGGTGGGGACAAACACATCCCATCTCAGAGTGTTTGTCCAGAATTGAAGGGACTTGTGAATAAGAATAGGTACACTGGTGCCATGAGGACATTTGCAGACACATGATCCTCATGTGCTTGTGCCTACAGGTGTTAAGGGTAGGAAAGGCTCTAGTGCCCCCAGCCATCCCCAGGCCCACCAAACACCTTAGCTGGCACTGTCTATGCCCCAAACCTGCCTTCCCCAAGACCTCAGATTCCCATCTCAGCTCAGATCTGCACCCCTCACCCTTTCAGCAACTCTCCACTTCTGTCATGTGGCAGATCTGAGTATCTGCCTGTGACCTTCATGCCTGACAGCCCAGAGGAGCTCAAATACAAAACACAGGGATTCCAAAGCCTCACTTGGCTCTGAGGTCACACCGCACCACTGCACCACCCCACTGTCCCTAAGGACTGTGGACTTTTGGGGGCAGCTGCATGATACACTCCCCATGTCAGCAGAACATGGCCCTCACCTGTGGGATATTGACGAGCAGACTGGTGTTGGGGACATTGGCAACACGGATAAGGCCTTGCTGGATGATCCTCTGTCCCTGGATTTGCACATTGGGCACAGACGCCCGGGGGGCCAGGAGGAGTGGAGGTGGCCCCGTGCTGGAATGTTGTCTGATGTTGTGGATTTGCTGTGGGGTGGGATGGGGACAAGACAATGAGGGACAATGGAGGGAGACAGAGGAAAAGACTGGGCTCATAGCCCCAGCCAGGGAATTGGAAAGGGTTGTTTAGGTGAGGTAAACCATTGCCTGGGGCTGCCTGGCCATATTTCTGTCCCAAGGGTGCACCCTTGCTCACCTGAGCCCCCCTGACAAGCGGGGGCATGACGACCTGTGAGCTTGCCTGCGGCCCCAACTTTGAGGACATCTGCTGCCCACCACGGACCAGGGGCGGTGGGATGACACTACCAGGCATTCGAGTCGAAGAGGTCTGTCAAAAGATACCAATCCCATATCTTAACACGTGGTTTGTTTGTTTGTTTTTAAACAAACAGGTATACTATTTTTGTAAAAGCACATACTCATTAACCAAAAAAGGAGGAGATAATAGAAAACACATAAATGCAACAAGGAACATAAGACTCCAACAAGAGACCTGTAAACATGGGCTCAGTTAAGACACAGGCCCCACCAGAGCAAGAGTCCAGCTAATCAGGACAGGCACCTGCTGGTATGAGCTGTGGACTCAGGCTTGTTTAAAGGGATCTGGGCCCCTGTCCAGACCTCAGTCCTATGGCCGGGAGGGAGAATCCTTTGAGCAGAGGAGGCTAGGAGCCTTGCTGGGTCAAGATCCCACTGCCTTTGGGAGACTCTGAATGAAAGGAGCTCAATATGTTTAGGTAGGAACTTAGTCCTCTCTCCAGTGTCAAAAGGGGTGGTCATGGGTGGGGCCTCCCATCTGTTGGTATGATTTGTTTATGATGTCAATGGTGGCTTTAGTTTGGGAATATAAGAATTCTTTATTTTGGGGATGCCAGCATTCTTTATTTTGGGGACCCAGTCTAATCAGAAGGAACAGGGCTACTCAAGAGCCTGATGAGAAAGGAACTGACCTGAAGTGATGGCTTCCCGGAAGGAATGTTCTGGGTGCCCCGCACAAGCGGGGGAGGGGTGGTCACGGCGCTCCCAGTGGAGCCTGTGGGCTGCAAGAGAGCAGGATACTCGTTAGATGAGACAGCCATCAGTCCTGCCCAACCCATAATCCTGATGAAGGAGGACTGATTTTCTTCCTATTCCAAAGGTACTAAAGTTTGCAAAGGTTTTGCTTCCAGCCTGGTAAGTGACCCCTGCCTATCTGCGACAGGAATTGGCATGTACAAAAATGGGCAAAGGAGAGCTTTTCCAGCACGACTTCACCGCCTGGGGACTCCTGCCATCACTCTGTGACTCTGCCTGTCAGGGGGCAGGAAAAGCAGGCAATGGGAAAGGACCCAGGGCCTGGACAGGTTAATACCAACCTTAAGGTTCTTTTAACATTTAAAAAAAATATGTTTTTATTTATTTATTTCAGAGAGAGGAAGGGAGAGGGAGAGTTGGAAACATGAGGAGAATCCCGGAAGGAATGTTCTGGGTGCCCCGCATGCCAGCTGCCTCCTGCATGCCAGCTACTGAGGATCGGGCCTGCAACCCAGGTGAGAATCCTGACCGAGAATTGAACCACGACTCCTGGTTCTTAGGTCGATACTCAATGACTGACTGACACCAGCCAGGCTCAACCTTGGGATTCTTTTTTTTTTTTTTTTAATCTATTTTATTGATTTTTTACATAGAGAAAGGGAGAGAGAGAGTTAGAAACATCGATGAGAGAGAGTCATCGACCAGCTGCCTCTTGCATGCCCCCTACTGAGGATGTGCCCGTAACCAAGGTACATGCCCTTGACTGGAATCGAACCCGGGACCTTTCAGTCTACAGGCCGACACTCTATCCACCGGTTTCGGCTCAACCTTGGGATTCTAAAAGTAACATTCTACTAGGGAAGGGACAGTGACATACTTGGGTCACTTTACCTTATCTTCAACAACTGACAAGGAAACAATAGGCAGGTTCTGTCCACCAGAAATTAATTGAAATCAGTCAGGCCACATCCACTTGCTGACTGAATGGGATGGGAACTCAAATAAGCCCCCAAATCAGACCAGTGAGTGTCTTTCTTCTGTCCCTCTCTCTTAGGGAATACGAGTTCTACACATTCTGTCAGCCATCCTGCCTGCCATGTAATCACTTTCCTGGTTTAGTGATAGTGGGGTTTTTTCTTTTTAAATATACTTTTATTGATCAGAGAAGAAGAGACAGAAACATCAATGATTAGAGGAGGAAATCATTGATTGGCTGCCTCCTGCATGCCCTCTTCTGGGGACTGAGCCCACAACCTGGGAATGTGCCCTTGACCAGAATCAAACTTGGCATCCTTGAGTCTGCAGGCCGACACTCTATCCACTGAGCCAAACCAGCTAGGGTACGATAGTGGTTATGATAAGAGCAGCTGCATAACTAATCATAAACCTTCCCAGAAATCCAACAAAACACGAACTTGTCCTACAAGTTCACAGGGTGAGCTCAGAGCAGAACCACAAAGAACTTCAGGCACTGGGACAGAGCCTCTGTCCACAACTCCAGATTAAAACAGATGTCCAAATTAAAACATAGCAGCTTCTCCAGGCCAGCACAGCCACCCGAGGGCAGGAGGCCTTTTTAAAAATAAACTTGGGCCCTAGCCGGTTTGGCTCAGAGGATAGAGCGTTGGCCTGTGGACTAAAGGGTCCCGGATTCAATTCCGGTCAAGGGTATATACCATGATTGTGGGCACATCCCCAGTGGGGGGGGAGGGGGGTGTTGCAGGAGGCAGCTGGTCGATGTTTCGCTCTCATCAATGTTTCTAACTCTCTATCTCTCTCCCTTCCTCTCTGTAAAAGATTGATAAAATATATATAATTAAAAAAATTTTTAAAAACAAATTCAGGATAGAGCTCTGAACCTTGAAGTGTGCTTCCAGCAGCTTCATACATCTGTTTTCTACTCCCTTCATACTTTTACAGGAAGTAAGTTTTATGTATTCAGATCTGGAACATTCTAGACTAAGCAGGACTCTTAATATCCTCTCACTGACATCCTTTTAGCTAAATACAAAATACAATACAAAATGGGACCTTTTGTATTTAGCTAAAGTTTCTATTCAGACCCTCATGCCCCCGAGGAAACCCATCTCCCATGATTAGCCTTTCCGACCCCAGCTCTGAATGGCTCCCACTGACCCTTGAGGAAGGTACAGACGTGCACAAACCTTCTGGGTGGTGGTTTCCTTTTGTATTTGACTCTGCCGCAACTTTTTCAATAAAACGAGTTTTGCTTCTTCTAACCGTAACTCTTCTTTCAGCTGCTTAATCATCCTTTCTCGTTCTTCAGGACTGCTTTTCTGCAAGCGCAAGAGAAGAGGGTTGAGAGAGAGGCCCGGCACCCAGGAGCACAGGCCCCACTGTCACCGCTATATTCAGAGATGTGTTCAGTGGAGTGTTCCCTAGCAGGGGTCAAGACTCACCATTAGGTCCTCAGTGCTGGTCTCCTGCAAGGTCTCTTTCGGAAGACCATTCACCCTCGGGCTCACAGGCTGCTCATTGTCGGAGAGCACAATCACATCAGGCGAGGGGGCTCTCTTCTCGGGCTTTATGTCACTGTGGAGCAGGGATAGCGGGTTGTTACCAGAGCATACTGACTGTGCTGGATTCTGTTCCCCAGAACCCCTCCAGGTGCCCAGACTAAAACACAGACAAAGCAAGGAGATGGCAAGCACGCTGCCCTACTGGTGGCAACATCTCTCCTTGTGTCCTCCCTGATAAGTCTCTCTGCCACCCATACTAAGCTGCCTTCTCTCATTGTACTCACCATGCAGTACCCAAACCCACATGTTTACGGTTCTGCCCCTCTCAGTTCCAATTGGGACTGTTCTTGGTGCCTGCCTTTATGTCCCCAGGGATGAGGACACCTATATGTCTTAGGATGACAAAGACATTTTGGAAAATATCATTCATCACTACTCTTTCCTCTACAATATGGCTAGGTGTTAAATTAAAAATGTCAGTAGTTAACCACTGAGCAACTCCAGCCAGGGCTAGAGTGTTGGCCCGTACACCGAAAGATCACAAGTTCAGTTCCCAGTCAAGGGCACATATCTGGGTTGTGGGGCATGCTCCCCACCTCTGGTTGGGACATATGTGGGAGCAACCAGTCGATGTGTCTCTCACATCACGTCCAAGCCCCTCCCCCCCTTTTCAGTTTCTCTGAAAAGCAATGGGAAAAAAATATCCCCGGGAGAGGATTAACAACAAAAAAACAAGCAAACAAAAATCTCAGTGGTTATAGCCTCGGCCAGTACACTGAAGAAGAGTCATGGGTTCAATTCTTGGACAAGGGCACGTACCTGTGCACCCCCCAACCCCCCCCCCCCAAGCCTACCTCCCTTCCTAAAAATATCAATGGGGAAAATATCTTTGGGTGAGGATTAATATAAACAGGGAAACAAACACATGGTCCTGGATCCTGATTGAGGTCCTTCCTGGACCACATGTGGCCCCTTCAACCTTCCAGTGTAACGTGGCTATATGTTTTGAAATAGACTATAATACTGAACACATTTTATCTTGCAAATCTGGGTGCTCTTATTCTATCTGATCTGCTCACAAATTGGTTTCCAGCAACCTCTATCCCCCATGCTCTAACAGAGGGTGAAGTGGTCTGGTGCCAAGGCTACCCCTGCCATTACTCTGGCCCTCTTACCCAAACCCTGTCCACCCCCAAGTCTCCTAAGACATATATGCACATCTGAGCCTCTACTATGGTGTCATTGACCCTATACACAGAATCAAAGGGTCCCAAGATGGCACTTCATCCCCAACAAAGTGGCTCCATTTGCTGAGGGCAAATGTAAACATTCCCTTCAGGTCTGGCTTCAAGTCTGGTTGAAGGAATCAAATCTTTCCCTTAGCAGCAAAATCAACCAACGACCAAACTTGTCCGCTAGGTGGCACTGTTGTTCAGGGAACAAACTTGATAAAGTTAACAGTAACAGCTAGAAGTTATCCCACTCTTTCCCCTACATCTCAGCAAAGCAGGGACAGAGTTATAGAGAACTGCTGCTTAATAGCCCACTAAACCGCCTTTGCTGTCCCTGGTGTGAGCTGCACATTCACAGAGGACTAGACCCTGAGAGTTCCCTGACTCTCCTGGATCCTGGATTCTAGTTGGCTGCAGGCAGGCGGGGCAGCAGCCCAGGCAGAACCACATCTAGAATTACAGACTGCAGGCACTTCCTGAGGAAGTGTGTGCTGAGATGAGGGTAATGTACAGGGATTGATCACTTTTTAATCATCTCAGTGAGGGTGTGCACTTCTTCAGTGGGTGAGATGTAAAAAAAAAAAAAGAAAGAAAAAAGAAATTGGCCGGAGGGAAGAGAGCAGGGTGAGGGGACCAGACCATCTGGAAGCTGCAGCTCCTTGAGATGGCCACTCTGACCGCAGCGCTCCTAGGTCCCATCTTAGACTGACATTAATCAATAACTCATCCAAGAGATGACATCACCTCCCATCAAAGATCACTTAGCATCCCAGCAGGGAGTGAACTTCCTGTATGCACTCAGGCCACCAAAAGTCATGTGATGAAGGCATTTCCCTCCTCCATCATGTGACTCTTTAACTGTGCCTTCCTTGTGAAAACCATGGCAACAGTCAGTTCTAACCAGTTTGTGACAAGCAGCCTTCATTTTAAGAAGTGAGGTAGGTTTCAGGTGTTTTTAGAAAATGGAGGAGCCCAGTTCACCCTGGAACTGCCAGGCTGGCGGGCACTTTCTGTGTGATGTCCACCTACAGAGACTATAATATGTTACAGAAACTTGGTCATTTCCAAACAAAGAGGGGCCACCAGCCCTTCTAGTTTCCAACATGAAGAACTTCCCTAAGCTCCATCTTTAAAACAAGGGCGCTTCAAGCCTCTCAGTTCCTTCCCAAAGAATTCTTTTAATTCAGGAAAAAGAATGCCTCTTTGATACAGAATCAGAATTAACATGGATTTTTTTTAATTGTTTTAAATAATAGAACCATTTAGGCCAGGGGAACAAAAGCAGAGGAAATCTAGCTAGCCCAACATGCTAGAGAGACGGTGGCATGGCCAGGTACACTGCTTCAGTCCAAGGCAGTGACCTGGGCACCGAGTTTATTTGGAAGCTACAAGACTTCAGGCAAATCCGATAAGCCCATCCTGCCCATCTTGGGAACCTTATGTAAAATATTGTGATCAAGAGATTTTACATGACCTATGAAAAAATCATTGGACGCAAGCCAGGCTGTAATCAGTGAAAATTGTCTCACTACCTCATCTCCTTGAGCAGTCTCTGGCTAAACAAACACAGAACCCTCTCAAGTTTTCTGGAGGTAAGACCAGGATTGTAACTTTATAACAGGATCCTGCGTCCACAACGCCAAGCTACTGTCCCAGGTAGCTACTCACCAGCCAGAGGACAGAATGAGGTTAATATTTAGTGTACTCTGCCCCCTCACCCCATCTGTGCCAGGGGAAGCAGACTCATAGAGGGAAACAGTCAGAAACTCTGACCTTTGTTCTCTGAATGAGCCTGCATGATGTTGGGCAAAGAGTGCTTCATCTACACTCATGCATTTATCCATTCAGTCACAACTCTGATTTGCTGAACGCTACCTAAGAAGTAGGGATAGTGCCAGGCAGGGAGGATAAACCCCTGGATAAAAAGGTGGTTCTGTCCTTAGGATCTACCAAGAGGAACAGGACCACCACCCACATCAGCTCAGGAGCTGGGCAGCTTCTCCAGGGCTTTAGAAATGTGGCATCTTTCTGCCCTGCCCTACACCTTGCTCAATTTAAGCCTGAATTTTAACAAGACCCTTGAGATTCCCGCACACACTAAGAGAGCTGGGAATGACTGGGCCCAATAAGGCCTCAGGACATCAAAGTCCTCCTGAGGGCCAGCGGCAACCAGCTATTCCCTGCCAGGACCTTCTCTGCAACTCCCCAGCCCGGCAGCTGGGTCCAGAAGCAGGTAGCTGCTAGATAAGCTCCAGCCTCACTCACTCCTTCTGCAAACCCCAACCTGAGCCTGACTGAGGGCATTCCTCCCACTGGAATCCATTCACACCTCCCAGGCCAAGCCAATTCTTACCCACCCCAACCAGTCCCACCAGTCTCTATACCATGGGATCATCCTGTCTTGGGCTCTGACATTCACCACCATTCCCTTCACCACTCTCTCACATCCTCCTTTACAAGATGCACTTGAAACCTTTTGTGCCCTCATAAGGTCCCGGGGTTCTCCTACCCCAAGCTAGGGCTGCAGGTAGCTACAAAAAGTGGCCAGAACTCCACTGCTCTACTTGTAGCCTGTCTTTAGAAGGCCCATGTACTGGATGTTCCCAGGATGACCCAACAAGCAAAGGGCAAAACAGGAATCCAGTCCTGATATGATACTATGGACTCAGAAGAGGGGGAGAGGCTCCGCTTCTCACTAGAGGCAGAAGAGCAGGAATCTTCTCCTAGTGCCACACTGGCTAGGAGTGGCAGAGAGGACACAGGGCCTCCTCCCAGAGCCCATGGCCATGCTCACAAAGGCCTACCATGAGTGGGCATTGTGCACCAGGCTTGCACACTAGGGAAGAGGGCAGGTGTTGCTGTCACACTCCCACAAAACCTCCTGTGGTCTCACTTAATTCTGCCTCTTGCAAGTGGAGGAGCCTAGGGCAAGGCAAGACACTTTCCTCTCTGTGCCCCTAAAGAACAGGAACAGGAGTTTCAGCTCAGCTGCTCCTCAGAGCTCAAAATTGTTCAGATAACTTAGGAAGCTGTTAGGACATCAGGATCCCAACCTTTCCTAAAGAGAGGCTGCTCACGGTGAATGCAGGCTTCGCACACAATGGGCTACTGAGGTAACTAACATTCAAATATTCTCAAACCTAGGAGGGCAGGGATTCTGTCTGTTCTGTGAGCAACTGTCCCAGCAGCTACAGGATGGCCTGGCAAGAGTGGGTTTTCAAGCAACAGGATTGGCACATGCCCACTTCCTCATCTTCCCTGGTACCTGGTTCCAGGATGGGATCTGTTAAGTCCACAAGGAACGCAGCAATACCTGTAGAGTGGGTGACTATGTCCATAGGCACAATCAATGCTGTGTTGCTAAAGGATGTGCAAATTAACAAAAGGGTTTCTGAATTCTGTGTTGTGTGTCTTTTCAGAACACAGGCCCTTAAGTTCAACCTCTAGCCTGTGAGTCCAGGATTCTGGTGGATGTTAAGAGGAAGTCCTAATACTCGTGGTTGACAGAACCCTGTACAGAGAACTAGCACTCCATCCTGATGAGGTCATCAGCCCAGCTTTGAGAGCCCTGTGAAGGCGCTCATTCCAGCTGACCCTTGACGGTGCTCATACTCCATCTAGTCCTGTTCCCATGATCTGAGCTGGTTTTGTGACTTGCTCTCTCTTACTGGAACGTGGAGGAAGCAACATTGCAAGCTTTTTTTTTTTTTTTTAAATATATATTTTATTGATTTTACACAGAGAGGAATTGAGAGGGATAGAGAGCTAGAAACGTCAATGAGAGAGGAACATCGACCAGCCGCCTCCTGCACATCCCCCACAGGTGATGTGCCGGCAACAA